AGCCGTAGAGGCCTTAAACTGGGCCCTTATAGCCATGCTGTCCCTTGAAGCCCCCTGAAATCTCAAGCAAAAGCCTCATAAGCCTGAAACTGAGCCCCAACAGCCTTCCTATCCCTTGAAGCCCCCGACGTGTCTTGGGCACAGGAGCTGTTTGACCGGCGGGCCGCAGAGACCGCGACCAAGCTCGAGGCGCACCGGCTGAGACCCTAAACCCGAAACCCTAAACCCTAAACCCTAAACCCTAAACCCAAAGGCCGTTCTGGTCCACCAAGATCCTTTAAGATGCCCAAGATAAGCCTCATCGTGATGAGCTACTATCTGTTCATTGTTTGTTTTTGCGTGGTGCTTGTGATGTGATGTGTGCTGTTGTTATGTGTTATTAATGGTATGCTCGGGAACCTTTTTTTTTTGAGGGGTACTTACGGCGCTGCAAATTTTGAGGCTTCGGCTGCGCTTTTTCCTGCACCAGTTGAGATGTTAGGGGGTTTTCGAGGTTCATGTTAATGGCTAGGAGGGATTGAGCGGGTCCGTTGATAAGCTCTCAAGTCACGAATGTGGGTAGGGTTTGGGACGATGGGCTTAGGGCTTCGGGCTTAGGGCGTAGGGTTTTTGATGTACTTTCTGTACTCCCGTTCCGAGGCACGCTGCACTGAAAAAAACGATCAATGCAAGCTTGCGTTTCTGATTGCCGCAATTTTCGAGTACGACGATCTTCCAAAGTGATACTTGCCTGTTGGGATTTGAGCTTCAGGGCTTGGCAGCGTCCCCTGAATCCTGAAACGCTAGATAAAAATGAAACAATGAAAAAGAACGTTCGACACCCCAAAATCCCCCAAACCCCACACCCGAACCCCCATTCAAACCTGAAACCCCTAGACTTCAACCCCGAAGCCCGTAAACTCACCTGACTCCCTGGACCTCCCCAGGCCCCGATCCCCTAAACCCCTAAACTCCCCAAGCCTAAGCCCCTAAAGTCATCTAAACCCTGAACACTCCCAAGCCCCAATGCCCTGAATCCCAAACCCTAACCCCCTAAACTCCCTAAACTCATCTCAGCCCCTGAACACCTGCAAGCCCTGATCCCCTAAACTCAATAACCCTAACCTTAGTCCCCAAACTCCCTAAACCCCTGAACCCCTAAACCTCTGACCCTTGAACCACTAAACCCCTGAACACCCCTGAACCTCTGAACCCCTAACCGCCTGGACCCCTGAACCACCCCTAAACCGCCCTAAACCCAAAACCCTCAACCCCAAACCCCTGAACTTCTGAACCCCTGAACACCCCTGAACCCCTGAACACCCCTGAACCCCAAGACCCCTGAACACCCCTGAACCTCTGAACCCCGAAACACCTCTGAACCCCTGAACCCCTAACTAACCCCTAAACCCCTGAACCCCTGAACCCTCAACCCTGAACTTCTGAACCCGGGAACTTCTGAGCCTCTAAACCCCTGAAGCCCCTGAACCCCAGAACCCCTAGACCCTATCCCCTGCAGTCCTTAGGGTGGAACTTGTTCGCAGAGCCGGCGACAGCCTCAGAAAAAGAAACCAGACTAGGAGGGACGGCAATAGCCTACCCGAAGAACAGTGGGGTCTGGGAGAAGACCTTGTACCAGCACCAAGGAGGGTGCTGGGTCAGAGCTTCACGGGCGCCATCATTCAGACTTTGAACCGCATGAAGGAGGTCTACTTCTGCAACAGCAGAAACAAGAAGAAACTTCGCGATGCTGGTTTTAACGCTGACCGACTTCAGATTGGTGATGACATGCGGATGCACCATTTCATGGACTACCACTCCACTGCGAATCATCACTACAACCATGCCAAGTACCCGAATGATTCCCTGAGCCCTAAACCCCTGAAGCCCCTGAAGCCCTTGAAGCCCCTGAAGCCCCTGAAGCCCCTGAAGCCCCTGAAGCCCCTGAACCCTAAACCCTAAACCCCTAAACCCCTAAACCCCTGAAGCTTTGAAGCCCTGAACCCCGAGACTCCCTAGAGGCGCTGCGGGCTGCGGACGCGGAGCGCAGCCAGACCCTGGACCGCCTGTCGAAGGCCTTTTCTTAGTCGGAGGGGTTGAGGGAGCTTAGGGGAGTTGAGGCATTTTGGGAGTTTAGGGTTTAGGGTTCTGGGATTGAGGGAATTTGGGGTTAGGGGCTGAGGGAGCTTAGGGGAGTTTAGGGATTTTGGGAGTTTAGGGTTTAGGGATTTAGGGCAATTTGGAGGTTAGGGGGCTGAAGGGGCTTGAGGGTTTTAAGGGATTGGGGAGGTGTGGATGGACTAAGGGGGCTGTCAGGGTTTAGGGGCTAGGGCCTTAGGGGACTTCGAAGTACAGTACTACATGGGGTCAGAAGTACCTCTCCAAACATGAGGTGGGCGTTCAACTACCTCTCATGATGATGCCCAGCCCTATGGGGTTTCCCACCCAAATACACCCCCAACTACTATAATCCTTAATACAGGAACCCCCAAAAAGGGCACCCCCCATCGGAAACCTCCATGTGTCGGCTTGGCCTCTCGCACAAACAAAAACCCTCAACACCACCCAAAATCCCAATCTATTAGGCCCACAAGCCCTGAAACCCCCCCCACAATCCTAACCCTGTAAACCCAAACTGCCAGCCCTCCTAAACCTAAAACCCTAAAGCTCAGCAAGCTGCCCGAAACCCCTCAAAGCTACTATCCCTCCCCCCTAGCCCAATAATAATATGTCCTAAACACCAAAAAACTCAAAGCCCTACACCCAGAACTGCAGACCCCCTTAAAAGGCCCTAAAACCCCAAGGCCTGTGCTGAGCAGAGCGAAGCTCGCAAAGGCCCGCGGGTGTTGGTCTTGATTAGGGTTTAGGGTTTGGGGTTCAGGGTTTTGGGGTTTGGGGTTTGGGGTTTGGGGCTTAGGGTTCTGCGGAGGGTTAAGCCTCAACCGTAACCCTAATCACGCAGGCATCGTGGCGGACGTCGAGCACTGCCAATCCAGCGACAGGCCCTTAAGTTCAGCACTTACAGGGTTAGGGTTTTTGGGTTGAGGGTGAAAAGGTTTACAGTAAGTCCAGGGGTAAGTTGAGCGTTTGGAGAGGGAGAGGCACCTTTCCGATCAAGCCAGAAGGTGCGGGGCTTAGAAACAAGCCCTAAACCCCAAACCCCAAACCCCAAACCCCAAAGCCCAAACCCCAAACCCCAAACCCCAAACCCTAAACCCTAAACCCTAAACCCTAAACCCTAAACCCTAAACCCTAAACCCTAAGGGCCTCGGATGCTTTTGGAGTCTCAGAGCTGCGGCCTTGGCCCTTCTCAGGAGAGCTTTCGAGCTGCGGTTTAAGGTTTTCTAGGATGTTAGGGTTTGGGGTTTAGGGTTTAGGGTTTAGGGTTTAGGGTTTAGGGTTACCGTTTACGGTTTTTGGGTTTAGGGTGTAGGGTTTATCAGGTTACCTATAACCCTATTTATCACTCTACTCGTAAGCCAGTGCACCACAACCGAGCTTAGGGTCTGGCAAACCGAGAAAGTTCAGGCTTTGGGGTGCGGGGCCCTCCCAAAGAAACCTCCATCACTGGGACAGAGGGGTTTAGGATTGAGGGTTCAGGGTTCAGGGTCCAGGGTTCAGTATTTAGGGTTTAGGGTTAGGGTTTAGGGGGGGAAGGTAGGGGACAAACAAATCCACAGCAGGCAACTGGAGGATGCTCTGAAGCGCGTTGATGCAAAGGCAGGGGGGCGCGGGGGAGAGAATCGAGGGTTGCGCTCGAAGGCCACTGGGTGCTTTTGTTTCTTGGGGTCCCTTGGGTTTAGGGTCTAGGGCTACTAAGGTCACTGGGTGTTTTTGTGGCTCGGCCGGTTCAACCCCTAAAAAAGTGAATCTGGGCTTGTTATGGCTGCTACTCTGCTGTTTTCGTTTAGCACAGCCCTGACCTGCGGGTCGCGACGGAAGGCAGTCCGGGAGTCTAGAAACTCTGGTGGTTTAGGGTTTAGGGTTTAGGGTTTAGGGTTTAGGGTTTAGGGTTTAGGGTTTAGGGTTGAGGATGCGTGAGCACGGTTAGGGCTTAGGTAGGGGTGTGAATCCCTGAAGTCGCCATAGAAACCATGAGCCCTAAATTCCCCAAAGCCATGAACCCAATTTAACCACCCCCAAAGCATGAACCCTAAAAACCTCAAACCCGTGAACTTCCGCCCCAAATCCCTGAACCTCAAACGCCCCCAAACCATGAACCTGAAACCCCTGGGCCATGAACCGAAAGCCAAAAACCAAAACCAAACCCGAAACCCTAAACGCTGGACCCGAAAAAGCCCAACCCTAGAAGGGTTTATGGTTCATATTATACCTTGACAGGGAGCATAGTATTTCAGGGTATATGACCTCTAATTTTTCGGGCCATGAGGTGGAGTCGGCAGCGTCCGTGGCCGCGCAGTGCACTGAAGGCCCACGTCTCCCTTCAAGTTTTGTTTTTTTTTTTTGGGGGGGGGGGGGGGGGGGGGGGGGGGGGCGACCAGAGGTCAGGGTTTAGGGGTTAGGGTTTACGGTTTAGGGTTGACGGTTTGTGGCGTCAGGGGTTCTTGGAAACGGCTTCCGTGGCTACCGTGCTACACAAGTCACCTTCCGGTTGGCACTTCATCGACACGTTCCTTTACCAACCGTCAGTAGACCCTAACCTTGGGATGTTCCCCCTTCTACTAACAGCTCCTTAATAGGGATTGTAGTAGGGGCGTACTATAATCCCGATTAAGGACTGTTAGTATAAGGGGGGAACATCCCCAACCCTGAACCCTAAATCAGCAGACTCGACCAAAGTTGTTCCGCGAACCAGCGACTGGCCTTTGGAGTACTATACTTTCATACTTTTTGGTTCTGGGTTCCTATTGTAGCTGCTTATACCTCAAAAGTGTATACGTTTTTTCCAGGGTCTACTCCAAAGTAGCCCTGTTTAGGGTTTAGGGCTTAGTGACGAAACCCTAAACCTAGACCCTAAAAACCCTAAAAAACCCTAAGCCCTGTGAGCAGGTGTGGCCGAGGTCCGCGTCTTTGCCCGAGAGGCGGTGGACAAAGCTTCCACGCAGAGCAAGGCCCCGCCAAGCCCCAAGAAGCCCAAAGAAGGTTTAGGGCTTAGGGTTTAGGGTCTAGGGTCCAGGGTCTAGGGTCTAGGGTTTAGGGTTTTAGTGTTTTAGGGTTTTAGGGTTTTAGGGTTTTAGGGTTTTAGGGTTTTAGGGTTTTAGGGTTTTAGGGCTTTAGGGCTTTACGGTTTTAGGGTTTTAGGGTTTTAGGGTTTTAGGGTTTTAGGGTTTTAGGGTTTTAGGGTTTTAGGGTTTTAGGGTTTAGGGTTCAGTAGGGTCGCATTCAGGAACCTACCCCTGCCCCAAGCTCTGAACACACGAAGCCAGATGACCTAGTTGGTCCCTAGAAGCCTTGTCCTGGGCTTCTGGCTTGGCTTCTGGCTTGTCATCTGCTTCAGAACATGGATAAATTAGGAATCTATACTACCCCGGCCCGAACCGCCCCTCTAAGACCCAAGTATGGCCCAAAAATAACCCTCCTAAACACTCACTTAACCTTAATCCCCCACCGCCCCCCCCCCCCCCCCCCCCCCCAACCTTTTAACCCTAAACCCTAGACCCGAGTTTGCGACTCCATGAGAGCATACGCAGGAACTCCTCGAGATCCGCTCCAGCGAGCTTAAGGCTCGATGTCTTTTGCTTGGGGGGGCAGGGAGGGGGGGAGTTAAAGCCTGGGGTGGCTGTTATCTAATTTTTGGGTTTAGAGTTTAGGGCTTAGGGTCTAGGGTTTAGGGATGTAATCCCTTATTGGGTTGAAGCAGGTCATATCCAGGAATAGTTTTTCAGAGGGTTTTCAGGGCCATCCTAGTTATGAAAGTCTTCGTTACAGTGATATGGAGGCCGAATTCATGAGTGTATCCCTTTTGAAGTAACTTCACTTGAGCTCCTAAGCCTTTGACCTTTGCAGCATAGGGTTCAGGGCGGTAATGCTGCAGGAATGCGAAGCTTGCGGCTTCGCCTACAAGCACTTCACGGTTCATGGACAAAACTTCAGCTGTATGTATAGTCTTAGTCAGAGCCAGCTGCGTAGCCGAGATATTTGTGTTCAAAGGCCGTTCTTATCGGTACCTGAGGGGGGCTCAGGCGGAAGGTGTTCGGAGTTGGGTGTATTCGCGGTCGAGGGTGTTCAGGGGTTCGGTCACATATCACGGGATCCTCAAAGCCTTAAACCCCGATGGTCTCCTCCCTTCACCTCAAAATAAGGGCACAAGTAGCCCCAGAAGCCATGGTGGGGGGCAGCATAGCTAAACTCTCAGCCCTACACCCTACATACTGCACCCTTAAACCCTAAACCCTATGAATGATAGGATCCCGTATCCCCTGCCACACCTCATGAGCTCCACCCCGCGTTGGTCGCGCAGGCTCAAATGATCCGGCTACATGAGGAGTTGTCCATCCAGACTTCGAAGGACACGCCCCAAATCCTAAACGTTCAGCCCTCACCCTTGTTGGAAACCCTAAACGGGCTGTTGTTGAGTTTTCAGAAGCTTCCACACAAATAACTCGAACTTCAGATCCCCCCCGCCCAACCCAGAGTAAGGCCTTAAACGCCCGTCAACAGGCCTTGTGAAGCTCTAAACATTAAGCTCTACGCCCCAAACCCCCAAACTCTAAACCTATAACCAGAAAAGCCCAAAGTTCTAAAACTAGACCCTAGACCCTAAACCCCCTATGAAACCCCCTAAACACTATAAACCCTAACTTCCCTAAACCCCAAAAACAACCCCCTCCCCCTGCCCCCCCCCCCCCAAACAAAAAAAAAAACTAAACCTCATACACACTAAACCCCCTAAACTCCCATAGACCACCCTCAACCCCCCCCAACCCCCTAAACCACCCTAAGAAACCCTAAACCCTAAGCCCTAGCCCTAAATCCTAAACCCCAAACCCCAATTCCAGGAGCTCCAGAGCCAGGCCCAGGCTTTCGCGGAGCTCCAGCGCCGCGCCGAGGCACGCGCCGAGGCCCTGCAGGCCAGCTTTTGCTTGTTTGTTTCTTTTAGTCTTTGTTTGTTTCTTTTGGGGGGGGGAGGGGGGAGGCGGGGGGGGGAGGGGGGGGAGGGGGGGAGGGGGGGAGGGGGGGGAGGGGGAGGAGGGGGGTGGTGGATACGGGTTTAGGGTTTAGGCTTCAGGGGGGAGTGGGGAGTGGGTTTTTAGATTTTGTTTTGGGTGTCTAGGGTTTTGGGGGTAGGGGTTAAGGGCTACAAGGTTGAGAGGGTTAGGGTAAAGGGTTAGGTATAAGGTTTGGGGGGAAGGGTTTTGGGGGTTTGGGGTTTATAGGTTTTTGGGCTTTCAGGGTTTTAGGGCTTAGGGTTTTAGGGTTTTAGGGTTTTAGGGTTTGGCGCCCTACCTAAACCCTCACCATGCGTCATGGGTTACGGCTTTGGGGCTTCGGGCGTGTGTAGGGCTGCGGAATCGGCAGCTCAGTGGTACCGTTTTGCCCAATTTTTGACCCTTACAACATACGTTGGAGTTTAGGACCTAGGGGCTCAAGGACCTAGGGGCTCAAGGGCTTAGGGGCTTGGGGGTGCAGGGTTTTGGGTTTTGGTATTTTGGTTTAGGGTTTAGGCTTAACGGTTTGGAGGTTCTGGGTTTAGGTTTTAGGGTTTAGGGGCCGACGCCCCTGGCGGGCCGAGGAGCTCATCGAGCGGCGATGTGGCGACAACACCTCCAAGATTGAGGCGCTCTTCTGGGGTTTAGGGTTTGGGGTTTGGGGTTTGGGGTTTAGGGTTTAGGGTTTAGGGTGCCGATAGGGTTTCGGGAATCAGTAGGGCATGAATTAGGGCTTCTGGGGATTTTGAGCTTGGGGTTTAGGGGAGTAGGGTTAGGGTTCTCAAGAGTAGGGAGTTGGTGTTAGGAGTTTAGGGTCTTACTCGGAACAGTTCTTAGTGCGGAATGAGGGAAGTGGGGTATCCTTTTGAATCCCTACATAGGTCCTCGTCCGCAGATTCTTGCCGAGATCTTGTTTTGCCGGGCTTCGCGCTCCCGTAGCCGACTGCATCTAAGTATGGAGTTTCCTTTGAGTGCGTGTAATGGTGCATCGTCGCCTCCACCCCCCCTTTCCTCCGCAAGTCTCCCAAGCCCCCTAAACCCTAAACCCTAAACCCTAAACCCTAAACCCTAAACCCTAAGCCCCAGACTCCTAAACCCCAATCCCCCAACCTCGGGGCCCATCAGCTTACAGACCCTACACTAAAGCCTCAGACCCCTGGACCCCAAACCCTAAACCCTAAACCCTAAACCCTACAAATAATTAAACCCTAAACCCAAAAACCCTATAAACCCTAAACCCTGATGAATCCTACACCCTGATGAAGCCCGGAGATTTTGTGAAGTGGTATGAAGCTGCAGGGGCTCCGCCTGGCGGATGCGGAGCGGCAGCAGCAGCTCGAAAACGTCTCCAAGGTGTAGCAGTTCGGGGTGTGCGGGTGTCTTTTAGAGTTTAGCTGGGATTTAGGTAGGGTTCAGTTGGGGCTTAGCTAGGGTTTAGGTATATAGGGTTTAGCAAGACCTCAGGAAGCCTCAAGTGGGGCCTTTCACAGTAGTGGAGCATCGGCAGCAGGTTTTCGTTGGCAGAGAGAGGCCTTGCCGAGGGCAAGGTAGCAGGGCCGCGAGGCTTTAAGGCAAATCAGATTATTGTGGGATGCCGGGGAAGAAGTGCCAAGGCATGCTAATGTTTCGGGGTCCTGGTACTGGGTGCTCTCATGACAAGCTGTGGCAGTACCTTTTGGGATGTTGGAAGCACAGGGAGTTCGACAAGGCTTCGGGCTCTCAAGTCCGCCTCGTAGGACATGTATTGTTTTCGCTTCGTGACGGGATGTCGATTGTTTGTGTTCAGCAGGAACCTGGGCCTCTCTTTACCTCCAGCCTTATAGGTTATACCTACTAATTAAATCCAATTAAGGGGGTATCTACTACCAACCTGTAGGTAAAGAGAGCCCCCAGGAAGGCACTCAGAACTCGCAGTTCGCATCGTGGGTTTTCTTGAGGGTGCTACCCCAAACCTGGGCTGGAGACATTCGTACAACTCGGCAACACAACGAGTGCTGAAAAGACACCTGCAGGATAAGCATCGAAGCTCGAAACCTTAAACCCTAAAACCCTAAAACCCTAAAACCCTAAATCCCTAAAACCCTAAAACCCTTAAACCCTTAAACCCTTAAACCCTTAAACCCTTAAACCCTTAAACCCTTAAACCCTTAAACCCTTAAACCCTTAAACCCTTAAACCCTTAAACCCTCTACCCTTAAACCCTAAAACCCTAAACCCTACCACAACAAGCATGGTCCTTTCCGACCAGCCTTGGAACCCAATGACACGGAGGACCCCCAAGGAGAAATCTTCCCGCAGCAGCCCCTATTTGGTCGGCTTTGAGACGTTTGGTGGGGGGCTTCTATAAGGAGCAGCACCGGGTCTTTTCCCAGCAGGGGATGACTGGTCGCGCATGGCACCGCGCTACGCCCGGGATTGCTCAAGGCTGCCCGCTCAGCCCGTTGTTGGCTGCTGCGCTGATGACAGGGTGGACTCATCACGTCGCCCAAGGGGGCACGGGCGGAGGCTGTGACCTTCGTTGACGACCGCTACAATGCGGACCCGGCCAAGCTTACGAGAGCGAAGCGTCTGAGCGATGAATTTGATGGTGCCTTCGGTTTGAAGTGCGATCCAGGAAAATGCCAGATTGCATAGTTCAGTCGACTCGAAGATCCCAAGCCGAAACGGTTCCCTTAGGGTTTAGGGTCTCGGGTTGGGGCGAAGCAGGTGGTGCTTGCCCCATTTCGTATTGAGGGCGCGGGGTGAGGGGGGGGGGGGGGGCTTGGGGTGCGTGTACGAGTTTTTCATACGGAACCCTAAACCTAAACCCAAACCCTACAAAACCCTGTAGACCCTCAACCCTATCAACCCTATAAACCCTACCTGAACCCAACCCTACCTAAACCCCATCAAACCCTACAAACCCTATAAACCCTATTGACCCTATAAAGCCCTATAAACCCGAAACCCTAAAAACCTAAACCTAAACCCTAAAAGCCCTATAGACCTCACCTACCTAAACCCTACCTTAACCCTATATGAGCCCCAGATCCCAAAACCCTAAACCCTTATCATGTCCCCCGACTACATACGCCTCCCGGCAAGGCCTGCACCGACATGTCGCAAGCGCAGAAAGGCCCAGCCTGGCTAACAGGGTTTAGGGTTTAGGGTCTAGGGTTTCGGGTTTCGGGTTTCGGGTTTAGGACTAATATAATTATAATTAGGGTTTAGGGTTAGGATTTTGCGTTTAGGGCTTAGGGCTTGGGGTTTGGGGTTTGGGGCTTAAGGCTTTTTCAGGGCTTACAGAGGGTTTAAGGTTTAGCAAGACAAGAGCTTAGCTACCAGTATGATACCTTTTGACCCCGGTCATAATATACAGTCCCCCAAATTTTAATGCTTCTATTCCAGTTGCATACGATGCCCTTTTATGAGGCAGTTTTGGGGCGTCGGTCTAGCCATCACGCATCTTTGGACACTACCCCTAAACCCTGAACCCTGAAGCCTGAACCCTAAACCCTTAACCCTAAGCCCTAAACCCTAAACCCTAAACCGCAGACTCTGGCAAGCTAAGGCTTCAGATTTGGGAATCCTGCTGGGCCTGGGTTCGGGGTATATTTCCCGGCCCTATATTGCCCTTGTAATGTGCAAAGGGCTCCTGGGGTTTATATGGGGGGTTTCCGAAAATAAGGCACCCCTACTATAAACTCCAAAACAGTAGGATTCCCGTAGATTAAGGACCCCAATGAGGTACCCCAATTTTCGGAAACCCCCCCATATAGGCTCAGGGTTTTGGGTTGGCCTGCTGAGGTATATGGGTAACGTTAGGGTCCCTTGTTAAAGGTACTTAAAATAAAGGTACCGTACTATATATAGGACCCAAAAAGGGACCGCAATCTAGAGAGCTACCCTGTAGAATCCGAACTACATATTATCCCGCCTTCTTTCGCCACGAGTGCGTGCTTTCTCCCTGCAGGTTTTTGCGTGGCGTAGGTGGCTCGGTTCGAAGGACATGCTGTGGGATTGCGCTAGTCCGTCCTGCATCAAGGCCTTTTTTGCCACACCTTGCCCTAAACCCTCCCCCCCCCCCACCCCCGCAGCATGCTAATGATTGGGTTCGGCTTGCGGCTGCCGACCTTCCAGCCGAGTGGTGCGGGAGGATTTTAGGGCTTCGGGTTTTGGATGTAGCTGGATTCTAAAGGCCAGAGCGGCAGTGACTTCTTAGCACCTGTATGGGGCCGGACATCCTGACGTCATGCCCAAAGCCCTAAATGCGCATGCATCTTGGAGGCATTCTGCTCGAGCTGGAGAAATCGCAAGCCACTGAGAGGCGCGTCGAGGGGTTTTGTTGGGATCCAAACCCACCCTAAGTAGGAAAGCTTTGGACACGAAGCCCTAAACCCTAAACCCTAAATCCTCAACCCTAAGCCCGAAAACCTAAACCCTATCCCTACTCCACCCCTATAGAGTTTTCTGAACTTCTGAACGCACGCAACCCCAATGCCTTTTGTCTGGTCTAACCCCTAAACCCTAAATCCTGAAGCCCCCAAAACCACCCGAAGCCCAACTGCCCCCCTTCCACCCGAAATCCCCTAAAGACCCAAGCCCTATACCCTAAGCCCCTAAATCCAACTGCGCCCCAAGCCCGCCAGGCAGCCCCCATACCGCTCTGCCCGAAACACCCGACATAATTCTTAAGGCAGTTACATGGTCCCTCAGTGTGGGCCCTTAAAGGGCACCCTTCATATACCCCTCATATACCCTATACAACTCAGGGCCCGTGCTTGAGAACCCTTTAAGGGAGGTAAGGGACCATATTACGGGCCATATAACTACCCTTAGACTCTCGCCCTAAACCCCTAAACCCTCAACACCGTAAACCCACTAAGCCCTAAACAGACCCTAAACACCATCAATATCTTTAGCCTAAACCTTAAATTGAAAACCCCCTGCCCCCCTAGGCCCTAATCAACTCAAACCCCCTAGCCCCCTAGCCCTAAACCCTAAACCCTAAACCCGAAACCCTAAACCCTAAACCCTAAACCCCCCCCCCCCCACCCAACCCCCACCCCCCCCCCCCCCCCCCGAGGCAGCTCGACGAGGCCGTGCGTCGCCTGGACGCGCGCATCGAGGCGACGGCCGCGACGGCCGGCGCCTGCTCCGAAGGCTTGGGGTTTGGGGTTTAGGGTTTAGGGTTTAGGGTTTAGGGTTTAGGGTTTTGGGGTTTAGGGTTTAGGGTTTAGGGTTTAGGGTTTAGGGTTTTGGGTTTTGGGGTTTAGGGTTTAGGGTTTAGGGTTTAGGGTATTAGGGTATTTGGGGTTTAGGGTTTCTGGGGTTGAGCATTCAGGGCTACTGTAGGGGGTTTAGGGTTTAGAATTTAAGGGGTTTAGGGGTTAGAGTTTAGGGGTTGGAGGTTTTGGGGTTCAGGGGTAATTAGGGTTTAGGGTTTTGGGTAGGGTTTAGGGTTTACAGGGTTCAGGGACGGTTTAGGGGGGTGGGGTGTAGGGTTTGGGGAAGGCGACAGATTGCTTTGGATGTAGGAGAAAGCCCGACTCCTCGACTACCAGACCGGAGGCGGTAGCAGCTGATTACCTGGGAGCACCCGTACGCAGGTAGGGTGGGGAGGTGAGTGGCTTGGCCGCCTGACACACCGCCCCTCCCGACCGCCGGCTTCTGGCTCTGCATGTAGACGGGAAGCCCAACGTTGCGTGTGGAGGTGCGCTTCAAAAGGCTGTACTTGGTGCGGGTTGGTAGGGTTTAGGGTTTAGGGTTTAGAGTTTAGGGTTTAGGGTTTAGGGTTTAGGGTTTAGGGTTTAGGGTTTAGGGTTTAGGGTTTAGGGTTTAGCGTTTAGGGTTTAGGGTTTAGGGTTTAGGGTTTAGGGTTTAGGGTTCAGGGTTCAGGGTTCAGGGTTCAGGGTTTCGGGTTTCGGGTTTAGGGTCTCAGCTTCTTGTGTGTCAGCCAGGAACTTCTTTAGCCAGATCCTGGATCTTGGGGTACTTTTCCTATTGTCGGGACAGATCGACCCAAGCGCAGAGCCACAGAGGTGCTCGATGACTGCGCACGCGGACTAGGGTTTGGGGTTTAGGGTTTGGGGTTTGGGGTTTAGGGTTTAGGGTTTTGGGGTTTAGGGCTTAAGGTTTTCCATGAAGTCTTTGCCGTTTCTCCGTCTTCTCATGTTCAGAGGTACGATGCGGCCGCGTAGCCTCAACCTGTAATCCTTAACTCGAATGGTGCAGTGCTGGGTGAAGAAGAACGGAAGAGCTCTGTTGATGGACCCCAGCTGAGCTCTGTTGATGGACCCCAACCCCCGTAAAGCAAAGAGCATTAACCTTCTGTAGACTCAACTTAGAAGCCGTAGAAATCCTTAAGCCCAACGACCCTAAGCCCTAAACCCCCCAAGTCCCCACTAAGGACTGTTAGTATATGGGGGAACATCCCAACCTGAGCCCCAAAACCCTAAACCCTATACACCCTATAAACCCTATAAACCCTATAAACCCTATAAACCCTACAAACCCTATAAACCCTATAAACCCTATAAACCCTATAAACCCTATAAACCCTATAAACCCTATAAACCCCATAAACCCCATCAACCCCATAAACCCCATAAACCCTATAAACCCTATAAACCCTATAAACCCTATAAACCCCATAAACCCTACAAACCCTATAAACCCTATAAACCCTATAAACCCTATAAACCCTATAAACCCTATAAACCCTATAAACCCTGTAAACCCTATAAACCCCAAAAACCCTATAAACCCCATAAACCCTATAAACTCTATAAACCCTATAAACCCTATAAACTCTATAAACCCTATAAACCCTATAAACCCTATAAACCCTACAAACCCTATAAACCCTATAAACCCTAAAAACCCTCAAAACCCCAAAAACCCTAAAAACCCTAAAAACCCTAAACCCTAAACCCCAAACCCCAAGCTAAAGGCCTGGCCGAAGTGAAGCTGGCGGCGCGCGAGGCTCTCGAAAAGGCGGGCGTCGGGCGCCGCCTCCAACGCCGCTTTGTGGTGTTGGGGTTTAGGGTTTTAGGGTTTTAGGGTTTTAGGGTTTTAGGGTTTTAGGGTTTTAGGGTTTTAGGGTTTTAGGGTTTTAGGGTTTTCGGGTTTTAGGGTTTTAGGGTTTTAGGGTTTTCGGGTTTTCGGGTTTTCGGGTTTTAGGGTTTTAGGGTTTTCGGGTTTTTGGGTTTTAGGGTTTTAGGGTTTTAGGGTTTTAGGGTTTTAGGGTTTTAGGGTTTTCGGGTTTTAGGGTTTTAGGGTTTCAGGGTTTTAGGGTTTTAGGGTTTTAGGGTTTTAGGGTTTTAGGGTTTTAGGGTTTAGGGTTTTATGGTTTAGGGTTCAGGGTTTAGGGCTGTAGGGTCGAAATCGTTAGGACTTTAGGGCTCTAGGTTTCAGGGCTAAAGCCTCGTTCGACTCAGGGTTTCGGGTTTAGGGTTAGGGTTTAGGGTTTCGGGCTTAGGGTTTAGGGTTTAGGGTTTAGGATATAAGGTGAAGGGTCAACTCAGAACCACGCTGCCCCTCCTGATACCGCCAGAAAGTTGACAAACTTGTAAATCGGAGGGTCGGAGGGACATCTAAACCCCCTGCCCACCACACACCCCGAAACCCCTAAACCCTGAGCCCTAAACCCTAACGCCTAAACCCTAAAAAACCCAGAGCCTGGCACCACGAACTCCCTCCATGCGCGAGACCCTTCGCCCTGAACAGCCAGCACCCCATTGAAGTTGGAAGAGCGACAGCCGAGACCCTACAAGTGGGGCTCATATACCCTTTCCCACTATGCCCTAAACTAAACCCGAAAACCCCAACCCTAAACCCTAAGGTAGTATGAACCAGAAGCCCTTTTGGGGAGGGATGAAGGTCCCCAAGTTTCTTTAGGCTCAGGGGTGTTGGGTGTCGGCATTAGTTGGGCCCCATTCGGACACCACAAAGAAACCAAAGGGAAACGAACAGCCTCAACCATATTATAAACCCTAACCCCTCCCCCCCCCCCTCCCCCCCATTCCCCCCCAACCCCAAACCCCAAGCATCACCCCAAAGCTACACCCAAAACACCCTAACCTAGACGTTTCCACAAGTGACCCGCGGAATTCTTCTAAAACAGTGGTTTCGCTCGATGCTTCTGCATTTTTAAGGGTTGTGTTTGAGGTTGTTGTTTTTGATGTTTTTGGGTTTTCGCTCGGGTTTTTGGCCAAAATGTTTGTGCCACTTCAGGTGCTCCGGCCGCCACTGCCCTCAGTACTTGCTTTTGAGTGAAATCATATAATGACATAATGAAATGATACTACAATGATTACGTTCCGGTTACCAGCACATCCATTCTCCAGAGTATCCATGCTCGCAGGATGAATACGTTCGTGTTGTCAGCACATCCATTCCCAAAGCATTCATGTCCACACCATGATTACGTTCCTGTTACCGGCACATCCATTCCCCAAAGCATTCATGCCCGCACCATGATTCCGTTCCGGTTACTGGCATCACTCAGGCAATCCGGAGGCCCTGAGACAGAAGCTGGGACACTTCTTGAAGAACCGCTGACACCCGAAAACGACCGCAACCTAAGTTGGACTGCCAAAAACGAGCTTCCCGCCCGAAAAAACGCGGGAAAAACGCGGGCCAGCTACGGACACGCCAGGCCCTAAACACCCTCAGCACCCTAAATACCTTCAACCCTAACCAAAACCCTAAACCCTACACCCTACCCCGAAGCCCTTACCCCCAGGCCCTTACCGCCGAACACTGAAGGGCCTCCAACATCCGATTGCAGGCCACCGCCCAGACGCACGGCCAGCTTGACACCCAAGCCAAGGAGTTCAAGGCCGCTTCCGTTGCCTGAGGGGTTTAGGGTTTAGGGGCTTAGGGTTTAGGGTTAGGGCCGGTTAGAGACTAGGGTTTTAGGGGTTTTAGACTTCTAGGGTTTTAGGGTTTTAGGGTTATAGGGTTTTATGGTTTTAGGGTTTCGGGTTCTTGGGCTTACGGCTTATAAGGGTGCAGGGCTTGTAGTGGGGCTTTGGGGTGTTGAGTGTTTAGGTAAGGTTTAGGGTTGGCACGGTTTGGACCCTACATGGGTTTGGACCCTATTTTTATCCCTCAGCCGTAAACGATAAATTCAAGGGCCTCACCAGGATCTGCCATTGAGATTGGGCAAAAAACTCGGCGAATATAGGGGCTGGAATAATAACTCACAGTCCCCTCTTATGGTCCCTTTGTAAGAATACCATCATACCCCCCCAAAAGCCTATACTCTACTTATTCAGGCCCCTATCTTAGTTCGGCAGCCCTTCTTGAGTCGGTCTTAAGTGCAGCATAGAACCCCCTTTTTACAGTGCCCCAAAGGGGTTTGGGTTTTTGGTTTGGTCTAGAATGTAGAGTTCCCCAAGGTTGCTTGGGTTCTTTGTCCGTGCAAGTGAATGGTTTAGGGCTGGAGGTTTCAGCCCTGAGCCCCAACCCTGTTTTCCTAAACCCTTCTAAATCCTAAGCTCTACCTCCTAAACCCTTATAGGCCCTAAACCAGAAGCCCCGTTGGGGTATACCTTCCTTGGACAGGGGCTGCTGGAGCGGCAGATTACCGAGACCTCCTCCAAGATTGAGGCGGGGCTTTTAGGGAATACAGGGGGGACAAAAACTCAAGAACGGCCGTTTTATACCTACATCCTTTGGGACCCGAACACCAAGCCCTGAACCGTGAACCCGAGGCCCTAAACCCTCCAAACCCCAACCCTGAATACCCTATGCCCTAACCCTAAACCCTAAACCCTAAACCCCAAAACCCTGAACCTCCAAAAGTCGAAGACAGGCGCTCCGCGCCACGGACGCCGAGCACTCGGCGCAGCTCGTGGAGCTGGCGCGCAGCGCCGCCGAGCTGGCGGAGGCTCGGAAAGGCGCGCCGGACCGGGCGAAATACAGGGGCCTGAATAACTGGAATTTGTGTTTTGGGGGGTTTATAGGATTCTGGTGGGCCATGAGTTCAGGGTTCAGGGTTTAAATTTAAGGTTTAGGGTTTAGGGGTTAAGGTTAATGAGGGTCAATCTAGGGGCCTTAATAACTGGAATAGGGTTTTGGGGGGGGTTTTATTAGAGTAAAATCATTACCAAAGAAGTTTCTCCGACTCCTGTAGTCTAGGATTCTGGTGGGCCATGGGTTGAGGCTTCAGGGTTGAGGGCTTCGGGTTTAGGGTATAGGGTTTAGGGTTCATCAGTTTTGAGCCATGTCGCACGTACATATTGCGGAAGTTTTTCCAACCGGACGATGAAGAGGGGTCGAAGCTAGCGGAGGAGAAAAGCACACCCAGCCCAGGGAGGGCCATGAGTCCGGCTACGAAGAAGATAATGGAAGAAGGCCCCAAACCCTAAACCCTAAACCCGAGACCCGAAACCCGAAACCCTAAGTGGCTCGCGAAGCGTTGCCTCAGCCAGAACCCTTGGACCAGGAGCCAGTGCAAGCTCTGGCGAGAAAAGCGAATGCTGGAGGCAGGCCGACGGGGAGATCCAAAGTTGTTCAAGATGCCGTTGGGCGTCTGGCTGCTTGAGCTGCCACGTGGGGAGACACTCGGCATCATCTCCGCAAGCTCTCCGAAAGCTGGGGGAGTGGCATTTAAGCCCTGCGACTCAGACACGTTGGCGTCGCTGTTGGAGTGAAAAATGGGTGAGTCCGCAGCTGACACGTTGCCTGGGCAACCCTAAACCCTAGTTAAACCCTGAACTTGCAGTCGATGACGTTTGTGTTCAAGTGCTTGTTTTCAGCAACAAAGAAAAAGGCAGCTTTTCAACCGGCTTTGGCCCGGAAGGATTGTGCAAATACGGGGGGGCAGGGGGGGGGGGTGGGGGGGCGGGTTATAATTGCGTTCTGGAATTTGGATTGTGCAATTACGGGGGGGGGGGGGGAAATAATATGAGGTCAACATTAATCAGGGTTTAGGGTTCAGGGTTAAGGGTTTGGGGTCAGGGTTTAGGGCTTCGGGTTCAGGGTTTCGGGTTGAGGTTTAGGGTTCAGGCCGGCAGAAGTGCATCGCGAGCGCTCCAGTGAATATAGCCCTTTGAAAGGAGGGATGGAGGTCCGGAATTACTTGCGTACAACGTGTAACCTGCAGGTAAAGGCGGACCTCTCACCCTAAACCCTAAACCCCAAACCCGACACCCGTTTCCCTGCTTAAAACAAAAGCTATAACCCCAAGGCTAGAGCTTGATTGGAGAAGTCAAGAACCTAAACCTTGAACCTTAAACCCCAAACCCTAAACCCCAAACCCTAAACCCCAAACCCTAAACCCCAAACCCTAAACCCTAAACCCGCCCGCCACCCCACTCTCTTGTCTTTTGGGGTAGGCGGGCGCTGGTCGAGCGCTCAGTGAGACCCTGCGAGGGAGCCCCAGGCGGGCGACCGAGCTGGCCTCCAGGCAGGCTTACCCTCCAGGCAGGCACAGGCCGAGACAGCAGTAGTCACTGCAAAAAATTATATTACCCCAAACCCAGCTGTCCGCGCACATTCTTGGCTCCTGCATTGGGAGGCCCCCTGGGAAGGCCCCTGGAGACCCCTGGGTCCCAAACCCCCGTCCGCTGGGCTGAGGGGACCAGGGGCCGTTTTGTTGGGGCAGGCAGGGCTCTGGCCCAAAAACTCCCTTTTGCCCTGGCCTGGGTCTGGCCCTGGTTCTGCCCTGGACCTGGCCCTGGCCCTGGCCCTGGGCCTGGCCCTGGCCCTGACCCTGGCCCCTCTGGTCCTGGCCCTGGCCTCTGGCCTGTTCGAGTCATCTTACCCCCTTGCGCCAAGCCAAGCTGTCCGCGCACCAATTTGTGTCTTGTTTCGGCGCTCTCCCTCTCTGGCTTTAGCACCCCCTTCACGCCAAGCCAAGCTATCCGCCACACCAGCCCTGTTTCCGTGGCGCTCTGCCCAACCCAAGCTGTTCACTGTGTGTTCTTCCTGGCTGGAGCCCCTTCGCGCCAACCAAGCCTCGCTGCCTTTCTCTGTTCCTGGCCCGTCCCTTGGGTTTTCACGGACCCTGCCTTGTTTCTGTCGCTTGTGACCTGACCTGGCCCGGCACCCCACCTTACGGGGCCAAACCTTGGCCCTGGCCCTGGCCCTGGCCCTGGCCCTGGCCCTGGCCCTGGCCCTGGCCCTGGCCCTGGCCCTGGCCCTGGCCCTGGCCTGGCCCTGGCCCTGGCCCCTGGCCCTGGCCCTGGCCCTGGCCCTGGCCCTGGCCCTGGCCCTGACTAGTTTTGCGCCCTGGCCCTGGCTCTGCCCTGTCCTCTGGCCTGTTCGAGTCATATTACCCCCTTGCGCCAAGCCAAGCTGTCCGCACACCAGTTTGTGTCCTGTTTCGGGGCGCTCTCCCTGGCTTTCGCCCCTTCGCACCAACCCAATCTGTCCTGCCTCGCTTCCGTTTGCTGCAAATTTGTGCCTGGTCCTGACCCTGACCCGGCACCCCACCTTACCCCCTTCGCGCCAAGCCGAGCTATCCGCCACACCAGCCCTGTTTCCGTGGCCCTCTGCCCGACCCAAGCAGTTCACTGTGTGTTCTTCCTGGCTGGAGCCCCTTCGCGCCAACCAAGCCTCGCTGCCTTTGTCTGTTCCTAGCCCATCCCTTCATAGCCCCTTCGCGCCAACCCAAGCTGTCTTCACGGACCCTGCCTCGTTTCCGCACGCACCTTGTGGAAATCCCCAAAAAGGGCGTGAGTGCTGACTCATGTGATGCTTTGTAAAAAAAATAAAAGGTCTTAACTCCTTGAGAGTTGTAAGTGGGCGGTCTTGGGGTGGGTAGGTCTGCATACTACCGCGCGCTCCCAAAGCGCGCTCCCGTTTGGCACGCCCTAAACCCTAAACCCCAAACCCTAAACCCTAAACCCTCGAAGCCCCCAAAGAGCCCCGCCTGCTCGCGGGAGGGCTTCAGATCGACCTGGAGAGCAGGAAAGCGGCGGACAGGCGAGGCATCGTCTGCCTTTACGGGTTGCTTACAGGTTTTAGGGATTTTGTTTAGGGTTTAGGGTTTAGGGTTTAGGGTTTAGGGTTTAGGGTTTAGGGTTTAGGGTTTAGGGTTTAGGGTTAGTAAACCTTAAACCCGATAGGGTTTCGGGTTTAGGGTTTAGGGTTTCGGTTTTAGGGTTACTGGTTCGTAGCAAGGAATGAGGGAATGAGGTGTCCGTAGGGGGATATCCCTCATGTCCGACCAAGAAGCCGAACCCTAAACCCTACCCCTCTAAACCCTAAACCCTACCCCTCTAAACCCCTAAACCCCTAAACCCCTAAACCCCTAAACCCCTAAACCCTAAACCCTAAACCCTAAACCCTAAACCCCAAGCCCTAAACACTAAACCCGAAACCCGAAACCCTAAACCCTATGCGGAGCTGCAACTGGTATTGTAGAAAAGAGTTAGTGTTGGGGGTTGGAAGGGTCAATGAACCCGGAAATCTTGTTTGGCTCAAGATGGCCAAGAGCCGTCAGCTTTTGTTGAAAAAGTACGTACGCCTGGGGTTGGGTTTAACGGGTTGGAGTAGTCCCGTCCCTTCTCCCTTATCCTGTCCCCGTAGGGGTGGGTGTTCTTGTTTCTGGTTCGATCTGGGAAATCCATATAGGCAACTGTTGAGGGTTGGTTTCTTTCCCTGTTCCCTTTCGGTTGCCCCCGTAGGTTATGAGCCCAAATTAGGTTCCCTGCGGTTGAGTGTTGTCTTAAGATCTTTGGGATCAAGAAGCAATGCCTTCTCCTAAGCGATGGCTCCAACCTTCCTCGGATGGTGGACAGAATGGTGGAGCTGGAAATGGTGCAGCTGAGTCTCTGGGTGGAAGAGCGGTGCTGGAAGAGGTGATTCCCGGCGCTGAAGAACATCTGGAAGAAGCCTTGGTTGCGGAAAACCCCAATGTGGGTATGAATCCCAATGTGGATATGGTTAGCAATGCTGAAGCTGAAGGACGTGCTGTCTCTGTATCGCCAAAGCCTGGTGAAAAAAGGAACTGGGACGCGACTGGTGGTATAGATCGTGAAATGGAGGTGACTGTTTTACGAGTGTTGCAAAAACACGGGTATCAGCCGTCGACTTCGACTTCGGGCCGAATGGTAGACCAAGGGTCTCAGACCGATCTGATTGGAGAAGTGCTGCAAGCGGCCAGGAGGCCTCTGAACAAGATTAAAGGGGATCCCTCTTCGAGTTCCCAAGGTGGTGGAAGCGGTTACGAACAGAAGGGTGCGGACAGCTTTGAAGCTGCACCAGCTGCTGAATACGCCATGGGGGAGGAGGAGATCTTACAGATGGAGGCTGAAAGGTTGCGACAGTTGTCAGAAGAAGAGGATGAGATGCGTCAAGTCTCTGAAATGGATGGTTTTCGGAAAGATGAGCATCTGATCAAAGCGTGCGATGGGACAACGTGGGAATGGCACTTCCATGAAGATGGGAGACAATATTACTACTGCCTGGATACGCAGGAAAGCAAGTGGACGTTGCCGGTTGTAGGTGAAAAGATGAAGAGTGACGAGGTGGTTGGGTCTCCTTCGGGCAATGAGCTGGAAATGGAGGCTGCACTGGGTTCTTCATCCTCTACTCCGACGCCTGAGTCTACGAGGGCATTCCAGGGTAGTGTAAATAGTGTAGATGAAAAAGATTTTTCCTCTACTATCAGGGATAGCGGTCCTAGGGCTGGTGGTGACGCCCCGACCTCGGGTTCTCCTGATGAGGAGGGGATTTCTGGAAACCGAGCAGACCCCGCTGAAACTCAACATCTGGATCGGGAAGAAATGGAAGCGCTTTCTCAGGGTGTGGCAGCGGTGGAATCGGTGGGTCCAGAAGGAAAAATGCCCAATGTGGTGATCGGAACTGTGTCGGCTGCAGAAGAGAGAGTGGTAGATGTGGTACCTGTTGTTCAGGAAGGTGGTCCTGGAGATTCGGAAGACGGAGGGAAAAAGTTGTGTGTTACGACTGAGGAGGTCTCTTCGTCTGGTGCCAAGAGTCTTGCCATTCAAGGGGAAAAAGAAGCTTCTGGAACAGCTGGAGACACGGAAGATCTGAAAGATGAGGCCTGGAGCGCCAATGATGCGCGGGTCAATGTGCCAGATAGTACCTGGAGTGCGAAGGAAGCACGGGTTGAGGCGCATATGGTGTCACGTTCCACGGGCGACTGCAACAATGGGGCGCAGGTCTCCGCAGCAGCTGATGACGGAGGTTCACAGGTGGACGCACTGGTGCAACCTGAAGTTAGCTGCGAGGAACGAAATGGCAAGGGCTACACCGGAGCCGATGAGGCAGCTGTGGTCAATGATGGTGGCAATTCTCCTTTGGAAACCATGGAACCAAAGGAGCCTGCGGTGGAAGAAAATGTACCTGCCGTGGATGATCAATTCAATAGCCCTGCAGTGGAAGAAAATTTGCCTGCTGCAGAAGGTGAGACAAAAGACTCCAATGATGGGTCCACTCCCATGAAGGGAGAAGTATTGCCGTCTGGAAGCTCGCCGGAAGTCGACACCGAGCGAACTGCAGCAGATGAGGCAAGGCCATTGGCTGGAAAAAAGGAAGGTCCTGAGCCCCTGGAGCACAAGATGGATGATCTTGTGGGACTCGTGCAGGAGCCGGACGAGCAGTGTGACCCAAAGGTGAAGACAAAGGATGCGCCAGGAGCCGATGATACAGAGATGGTTTCTGAAGAGCATGCAAAGAAAGTGCCCCGAGCAGGAGCCTTGGAATCACCTGGGAAACATTGCTATCAAGAGGGAGATGAGATCATGGGTCTAGTGCGCTGCATCAATGGGTATGGAGCCTTTTTGGACCATGGTGATGTGAATGTATTGGTTCCTGCAGAAGGGAACAACACATATCAGTTCAAATTTGGTGATACTGTCAATGGAACAGTGAAACGAGTGGAAGATGATGGTACCATAATCTTGGACACCTTTCTGGTTTTGGAAGAGGACGAGGAGGACTCTTCTTCGACGCTGCGTAAATGGAAACCCAGCGGCTGGAGTACGTGGTGGACAGATTCATGGTATGCTGGTCAATGGTACCAAGATTCCAACAGTCAATGGGACTGGAAACAGGAGGAAGAGCAAACCGATGAAGGGCTTGTGGTACAGGAGTTATCCTCAGAAGAACGAGAGGAAAGGCAACTTTATGGAGAAAAGATCTATAAAGCTCTTCTTGAGAATGGAAACGAAGATGAGGCCTATGTTGGCAAAATCACTGGGATGCTGTTGGGTCGCCCAATGGAAGAGCTACAGGAGTGTGTTGCAGATCATGCATTCCTCAATGCGGAAGCTCGGCGCGCCTATGGCATCTTGCAAAGTGATGGTTGGGAGCCTGATGGTACGGAAAGCACAGGCTTGGGAAAGATATCCACTTTTCCCCGAAAACAGTACCACAACGCGCTCTTCGAACTGGCATGCAGAAAAAGGAGATTTACTCGACCAGTTGTGGGTGAAGCGGTGGCAACGGTGCTGAGTCAAGGGAAAGATGAGCTTTGGAACGCGCTTTGGTTGGACACCAAGCGATTTTTGCAGGAGCTTGATGGTGCAGTGGAATCCATGAGTAAAAGGGAGAACAAGCCAATGGAAGCCTACATGGATCCTGACCAGTACAAAAGGGCTCACATGACTCCAAAGGCGGTGTCACCTGGATACAGCAAGCTGTGCAAGTTCTTCAATCGGGGAAGGTGTCGCAATGGTGATGGGTGTTCCTATGAGCATCGTCGTTATGGTGAAGGTTGGCCAGAAGGAGGATCAACTGAGCCAAAGAACAGCCAAGAAGCTGGAGATGAGGATGGGAACATCGGCGACCCTCCTACAGAGGAAGGCGCAGTGGATGAGGCACAGCAGGAGCGGGAGGATTTAGCCTTCCGGGCCAAGTACAACTTTGGTAAAGGTGCATCAAAGGGTGAACCTACGTTGGGTGAGCCAAAAGGTCGGCTGTGTCTGTATTACAATCAAGGTGGTTGTAAATATGGGACTACATGCAGGTATCTTCACAACGATGACATTGCATTGGAAGGGACTTGGGAGCCCGGCAAATCTTGGGACAATGCTTCCAGGAAGGCACTAAGGGACGCGGGGTTCCACCATTGCTGTTTCGATTATTACCTCAGAGGACGTTGCCGGAAAGGGTCAAATTTCTGCAAGTACTCCCACGACGAGATGTCAGATGAGCGGTTGACGCTCCTGAAACACTTGGTACATGTGGCCAATCAGGTCCGGTTTGAAAAGGAGAGAGGATGGGAGATTTCGGACAGAAGTACTTTTCAGCCACCTGCGAGTGGGGGAGCTGAATCTTCCTCATCCTCGGCACCAAAAGCGCTGCAAATGACCAATGTGTCACAAAAAGAAGGTGAAAAGGGTATTCTGGATGAAGCAGAAGCTGATGAACAAAAAAATTCGGTGGCTGAATCCACTGGTACTCGGCTTCAAAATCCAGAGGAGCCAATTGAAAATTGGATGGCTCGCAACGAACACCTTTGGGTGTATACCCCTCATGTAAGTGAGGTGATGATTACACTTGGTGTGACCAACGTGTCGGACTTGCAAGAGTTCATCTTTGTGGAAGATTTGGTTGACAAAGGGATCAACAAAGTGACCGCATGCAAAATTCTGCAATTGGTTGGTGGTGTCCGATATCGTCCGGAGGGGCCGGAAAAAGCAGTTCCTTCCGATGCATCTGTACGGGTACAACAATCTTCTGGGAGCAAGGGAACTGGAAGAGAGGCGGTGCGAACCCTCACTCAGGTGCGTGAAGCTGAAGGCTCCGGTGCAAAAACAATGCCGAGAGGCTCCTATCGGGAGCTTTTTGATAAGGTCAGGTACCGTGACGCTTGGACGCTTGCGCAGAGGTCTCCGCTGTGCGTACAGAAGCTACAGTTGGTGGGAGTTGGAATGCCGCCGGTGAACCCGCCAACAAAAAAGTATCGGTCAAGATCAAACCCTGTAAGAAGGGGAAGGCCCTTGCTGTATAAAAAACAGGTGCGACAGGTGCCACGCTCTCGTTCACAACGACGAGTGCAACCGGCGGAAGTGGTGGAAAAGCCAAAGCCACTGGAACTGAAGCCTCGTGGTGGGTTGTCGTATCGGTTCAGCAGAGCGTGGGCAGATGTGGTGGATGATGATGATCAGGCGGAGGCTTTGGTCTCTTATGCCGCTTCCTCAAGCGATTCAAGCGAGGAGGAGACCAATGCCGCGCAACGCATGAGGGAAATCTTTTTGCAAGAAAGGGATTCACAGAGAACTGCGATTCGTGGCAATGTTCCGCTGGGTGGTTCTTCAGGCCCCAATGATGGGCAGAAAAAATCGGTTCACCTTGGCGAAGGGCGCGACAAAGCGTCGCGGGGGGAGACCCGCCAAGAAGTGACTTCTCAAGTTTTTTCGCTACCACAACCTTCTCGTCGAACTGAACAGTCTCAAAAAAGAGCAAGGGATGGCTCAGTTATAGTTGGTTCGCTGGCGGTGGGCTCCACGGATGAGGTTTTACCTGGGCAAGGTGTTGCTGGACAGGTGAATGTATCTGAAAGCGCTCAAGTTCTTCCTGGGCAAGAAGTGGCTGGACAGGAGACGGCGCTGGAAGGAGCAGTGCAAATTTCTGGCGAGGAGACTGACCAAAAAGAAGGAGAAGGTGGGAGCAATGAACTCCGTGGTGATGGTGCGAAGATATTGGATGTTTGTCCGGTGAAGAATGACCTTCAGCAATTGCTGGTTAAAGGTCTTCTGACTCGGATTTATTGGAAGGTTGCTGTTGGCAAGTTGCCTGTGGGGCAAAGAGACTGCCAAAAGGGGTCCAATAAGATGGATCGAAATTTGGTTATTAGCATGTCATCCGAGGGTGCAAGCGAACAGGATGAGAACCTGGCACTGGAGGACGATGCTGATCAGTCAATGGGTGATGGTGCGATGGTGGTTATGGTGTATGATCCAGGAACGCTGATTCAGTCGCCAACAACTGATTGGGTTATGCGTCGCGGTCTGACCGATCGTACTATCTGGCCAGCAATAGCGGCTACGGCACAGAGGATATGTGCTGAAATGGTTCAAGTGGATGAAATGAATGCCCAGCTAGGGACTGGAGCACTCCTTTTTCAAAGGAGAGATCAAGGATACTATTGTGATTTGCATCATTCGTTCCATGACAATCCGTGCTTGCCGGCGGTGGGAAATTATCCTCTTTCGGTGATGGGTGCATTGTTATCTCCTGGTCTGGAAGGGGAATTCAAAAATACTGATAAGTTTGGAACTGCTATGGAGGCAATTGCCTATGATTGGAGTCGCAGTCCAGGCATGGAAGTTCACATTGAACTTATGGCGAGGGTAGCCAAATTGGTTCATCCGTTCCTTACCCTCGGAGCCCAAGGGTCAGTGATGGTTTCGGAATTTCTCTGGCAGCGCGGGAGGGCCCAGTTGATGGAGTTCCTTCAGGCGGCGACTTGCGCTGATCAATTGGAGGTTCTCTGGAGAAGGATGGACGACGATGCTGATGAAGAAGTGGATCCTTCGACAGCGGTGCTGGAAGTTCTTGGACCGGAGGATGCGGTACTTGATCAAGGGAACAATGAATCCCTTGTCCCCATTGAAGATGCTGGAGGTGAGACAATTGGTGACACTGGAAGGGATGGCAAAGCGCCAGAAGTTTCTCCGGAAGAGGAGACATCCAGAGGGTCATCAAGACTGGCGGACACAAGGATTTTCTTGTGGTCAGTGTACTCCCGCGTTGCTTCCAATTTCTCTACGCAGGACCGCACTACTGGTAAGATCTTTGACAGCACAAAAGGGTATCCTGGTGAAGGACCAAACAATGGTGACAATCCTTCCTCTAAGAGGAACTTACCCTGGATCTCGGAAGACTACCTCGACGAAGTGGTGTCAAAAAAGATGGAAAGGTCTTCAGATATGGATGGGTTGGATGGGTTTGTTCCGGGAAGTGAGGGACCGTTGGAAAAGGTAGAGGTGGAGAATGTTACTGCCTCTAAAATTCTTATGGCTCTTTGGAAGAAGGGATATAGAGCTGGGTATAGGAGGTTGTGTCGTTTGAACGCATCTGGATGCAAAGTTGGAGCAATGAAACGTCCAATCAAAAGGGTGCAGAAGATCGGCGCTAGAAAGGCCTTCCTGAAAATGTTCAATGTTTTTGGATCGTCTCGGCATGGCTCAGGAGCTGGCGGAAAACCAATCATGAAGGTGGTAGGACCAAGGCCAGGTTTTCCAGCTGTACTCCAAGCATCAAATACTGATAGCACCTTGGGTGAGGGGAGCAGTTTCCAGGTACATGGCAATGTTCATGTAGAGCAGAGATGGACCGGTACGAGGCAGAGCGCTTGGAGAAGAGGAAGAAAGGCTTCTGCTATTGGTTCAGCAAGGGGAAAGATCGCTGCAAATTTGGTGAAGACTGCAAATTCATCCATTCAGAAGATGATGTGGTGCTACATTCGTATTGGTGCAAATACTATGTGGCGGGGAGACCCTGCTTCGCTGGAAAGGAGTGTGAGTTCTCGCATGATGCAACTGGTGTGAGGTGCATCCAGTTTGCTCGGTCTGGGAAGTGTCGTTATGGTGACAGGTGTGTCTTCGAGCATGGTGTTCCGCTGGATGAACAGAGGCCAAGGTCTCCAAGGACGCCCCCAAGGGATGGTCCAAGGAGAAGTTCTGGTGCAAAAGGTGAAGAAAAGGAGATCTCTCCTGAACAGTTCGATGATGATGAGGAGGATTTTATGGTTTATGACGATGATACCAAAATGACGGAACTGTTGATGGAGGCGATTTCATTTCTGTCCGATGGCAAGCCAGATTTGGCTCGAGCAGAGGCGGACCCATTGTTCAAACTCCTGAAGTTCAATGGAGATACTGACCAGATGGATCAAGAATGGGTTTCGTGGACCACTGGTATGTTGACCGTGCTGGAACTTCACGAAGTAGTGAAGTCGTATGATGTTTCGCTCGCGGAGGTGGAAGAATGGGTCAATGACCTGAGGATATGGTACGAGCGAGCCAATTTGGGAGAAGAGAAAGATTCCAAAAAGGGGCAAAAAGAGGTCCCTAGAAAGGGAGTTCAGCAAGGATATTCCTGCAGAAAAAGAAGTGGTTGAGACTTCGGAGACGGAGGTTGCCGTTGAGGAGGAGATGAAAAAGGTAAAAAAGAAGAGGAAAGCTGCAGCTATCGAAGATCCTTACACTCTCATGGTTCCAAAGCCGAAGAAGATGCCGGCGATCATTGAGAAGGGTGGATCATCATCCAATGTGGTGGTCTCTGCAGTGGAAAAAGCCTCGAAAATGCGCACAAAGTCAAATGTCGGTGGAAAGACAAAGAAGAAGGAGAAAAGTCAGAGTCCCAAAAAGGAAGAGGTGGTAATGGTGCAAGGTCCTGAGGAAAAGGATCGTCCATCTGATGCGGATGCACCAGCGTCTACCACTGTGAATGCGGAGCTGGGTCAATCTTGCCAAGCGATTGAGGACGCAAAGAGAGAAGGATTGGTATCCTCAATTCAAAGGTGCGTACAGGATCCTGTTCTTACAGTTTCGGGCCTGGAGTATATACTGCTGCAACTTCACCTCAAAATTGCCAACAATCGGAAAAAGAAGTGATTGGATGGTATGGATGAAGGCATGGTTTTTCTCTTTCTGGAGACAGGTGCGCTGGAACAGCCAATGTGCTGACAATGTGGTGGTTACTATTAAGGGTATGGAAATCCCTGATAGTAGAAGTCAGTAGTTTTTCGCGTAGCGAAGACCACGGTTTGTGGTAAAGAAGGCCGAAGAGTCTTCAATGATAAGAGGATCATGGTGGAAAAAGATTCTCTGTGGTTAGTGGGTTAGCCAATGTGCTATAAGTTCGTCCTGGATGACGTAAAACCATATTGTGCATTTCAAGCAGCTGGCTGCTGCCTTAATGGCAGTTTTTGGCCAAGAGATCTGCACCTCCAATGTGTCCTAGGAAATCCTAGGACAGGGGGAGTGCGGAGCTGCAACTGGTATTGTAGAAAAGAGTTAGTGTTGGGGGTTGGAAGGGTCAATGAACCCGGAAATCTTGTTTGGCTCAAGATGGCCAAGAGCCGTCAGCTTTTGTTGAAAAAGTACGTACGCCTGGGGTTGGGTTTAACGGGTTGGAGTAGTCCCGTCCCTTCTCCCTTATCCTGTCCCCGTAGGGGTGGGTGTTCTTGTTTCTGGTTCGATCTGGGAAATCCATATAGGCAACTGTTGAGGGTTGGTTTCTTTCCCTGTTCCCTTTCGGTTGCCCCCGTACCCTAAACCCGAAACCCGAAACCCTAAACCCTAAACCCTAAACCCTAAACCCTAGCCCTAAACCCTAAACCCGAAGATCCCAGAGGCAGCTGGAGGAGGCGCTCCAGCGCGCGGAGCTCCGAGCCGAACGGCTCGCGGCCCAGGCCTCCCAGGCCACGGAAGGCGGGGGCTGGAGGGTTTGGGGTTTAGGGTTTAGGGTTTAGGGTTTAGGGTTTAGGGTTTAGGGTTTAGGGTTTAGGGTTTAGGGTTTAGGGTTTAGGGTTTAGGGTTTAGGGTTTAGGGCTAAGGTTTATGAAGTGTTTAGGGTTTAGGGTTGAGGGCTTAGGTTTCAGGGTTCAGGGCTTGGGGAGCCTTACTAACTATTACTTTATATGTTTTTTGGGGAGGGGTGCGTTTTGGTTTTTTTCTTCCGTGTCTTTAGGTGTTCTGGCTGTTTTGCGGTGTTTGGGGTTGGGTTTGGGGTTACTGTTGGGCGTCTCACCCCAACACAAGGCAGAGCCAATGGCCCCAGCTCTGCGTTTTCAAGAGCCCATGCGCTTCGGTTTAGGGTCTAGGGTCTAGGCAGGGTCTAGGGTTCAGGGTTTAGAGTTCAGGGTTTAGGGTTTAGGGTCAAGCATAGAACTCCAAGCCAAACCGCTTTCCATTTTCTCCTGTTTTGCGGCTTCGGGCTCGGACCTGCAGCATGCACGAAGGTATCCCTGGGCAAGACATCCTAAACCCCAATCTTAGGGACTGGGTAGGTAAGCTTTAACCTTTTTGGGACATGCTTGCACAGGTCGCGCTTGAGCCTTTTTGGTTATATGGAAACCTACTTATTTCAGAGCATAATCTTTCTGGGGCAAGGGTATTCAGCCCCTATGTAATCCTTCGAACGAATCTTTCTGACCGAGGCTCCAGCTCCTTTCAAAAGCTACAACCACTACAAGCTCTGGACCTATGAAAAGTTATCACCTCCCAAAACCCCACAATCAGACCGAAACCGGGCAACCGCGGCAGCCGCCTTATAACCTATAAGTTATATACAACCCATAAACTTGCCTAAACGCAAACCCTTGAACCTTTAATCCTTAAAACCTCAAACCCTAAGCCCTAAACCCCTCAACCAACACAAAGCCCTCAAACCATCAATCAACCCTAAACCCTCAACCCGAAACCCTAAACCCGAAGCCCTAAAGCCTAAACCCTATAAACCCTAAACCCTATAAACCCTAAACCCTAAACCTTAAACCCTAAACCCTAAACCCTACACCACGTCACAGCGCCTCTTGCGCTTCGGAGGCCTTGCCGAGTTGAAGGCCCCGCCGGCACGGCTGCGTGGGTTTAGGGTTTAGGGTTTAGGGTTTAGGGTTGAGGGTTGAGGGTTGAGGGTTGAGGGTTGAGGGTTGAGGGTTGAGAGGTGAAGGTTTAGGGTTTAGGGGTTTAGGGTTTTAGGGTTTTTGTGCTGAGGTTTTGAGGGTTTTAGGGTTGTAGGGCTTGGGGTTTGAGGTTTAAGGGTTAGACCCAGACGCCTGGCAGGATCCAAAAAGCAGCTCCCTTGAAGGGTTCCAAGAATGACCCAAGAGTAGTGTAACGGTTTAGGGTAAGTTTAGGGTTTAGGGTTTAGGGTTTAGGGTTTAGGGTTTAGGGTTTAGGGTTTAGGGTTTAGGGTTTAGGGTTTAGGGTTTAGGGCTTAGGGTTAAAACTATTTGATCCTCCCAGGGGTCTTGGGAGTTCAGGGTTGCGGGGTTGTATCAAGGGCTCAAAGACTCAAATCCTTGGATTGCAGTGAGCCGGCGGCAGAAAACAGCTTAGCACTGAAAAGCCCTAAACCCTAAACCCTAGACCCTAGACCCTAAACCCTAAACCCTAAACCCTAAACCCTAAACCCTAACGATCTCTAGCTTCCACCCCACACCCCGTCCCTGCAACTGCAAACCCTTAACCCCAAACCGAAACCATAGTCAGGACCATTCTGTTAGTTCTTCTCGACTGTTGAAGGTATATTCCCTAGTTAACAGCTACAATCCCAAACAAATCTGAAACCGACATCCCTAAATCTCTGAACCCCAAACCCTAAACCCTAAACCCTAAGCCCTAAACCCTAAACCCTAAACCCTAAACCCTAAACCCTAAACCCCAAACCCGAAACCCTAAACCCTAAACCCTACACACGAACCAGGTGGCAGCCCGAGAGGCCGCAGACAAGGTGGCGGCGCAGCAGGATGAGCTCAAGGACCGGAGTTGGGTTTAGGGTTTAGGGTTCAGGGTTCAGGGTTTAGGGCTTAGGGTTTCAGGGCTTAGGGTTTAGGGTTTGGGGTTTAGGGTTTCGGGTTTAGGGTTAGGTTTCGTTCTTGGGTTTAGTGTTTTGGGTTTGGGGTTTAGGGTTTAGGTTGGGTGGCGTTCTTGCTACGTTCTATCTGCTTAAGAACCCCCCAACAAACTAAAGATACTATTCCCTGTATTAATGTCAGAAGGAAGAGTATGTTTATGCTGTTTCTTTTTTGGGGGGGTTTCTTAAGCAAGTAGTGGCTTGGGATTTAGTGCTTTAGGAGTTTTGCGGTTTTAGGGCTTGAGGGGTTTTGGGGAGTTGGGAGGGTTTAGGAGGTTTGGGGGGTTTAGGGTTTTTGTGTTTTAGGGTTTTGGGGTTTTGGGTGTTTTGGGGTTGAACGTTTTAGTGTTTTTGGGGTTTAGGGCTTTGGCTTTCTTCGGGTTTTTTCCAGGGTCTACTCCAAAGGTAGGGGGTTTGAGGTTTTCAGGGAGTCAGGCGTTGGGCCTGGGGTTTTTGCTGCGACGCCCAGGCGTGCTCTTATCTGCTTGTTTGGAAAGGTTGTGCTGCCTCAAAAACCTAAACAGGCTGTACTATGGGCTCTACGCGAAGAAATTGAAAGCAAGTTACCTTATAATGTTTGCTGTGCAGCCCTACTATGGTAGCTTGTCGTAAGTTGGAGACATTGGGCTTGAGGTTCGGGGTCAGCTCCTTGCCCCCCCCCCCCCCCCCCCCCACCAGGCACCCTGCATACAAGGCTCCCAAGAGTCACCAGAGTTTAGGGAACGCCAGTGTATGAAGCATCTCAAGGATCAGAAGTAGGCTGCAAGACCTATGGTCCCTGGATGCTGCCAACCTCCTGAACCAGGTTGACGCTACGGCTGAGAAGCCCTGAGCCCAAAACCCAACCACTCTGCAACCCCCATCCCAAAAAGTCCGACATGCTCATGATGCTTGTCAGCCGAAGTCCCAAACCCTAAGCCATATAACCTAACATCCCAAGTCCTGATTCCGAAGCCCTAAACCCCTAGACCCTAAATCAAACTCGCCTAAATCCTAAACCCTAAACCCTAAACCCTAAACCCTAAACCCCCCTAATCCCTGAACCAGGAGCGGGTGGAGCGCCGCGCCTCCGACACGGCTGCAAGACTCGAGGCAAGGTTGTGAGGAGCGAAGGCTTGGAGAGTTTAGGGTTTTAGGGTTTAGGGTTTAGGGTTTAGGGTTTAGGGTTTGAGAGGCCTTGCGCGTCGCCGACGCCGAGCGGTCGGCGCAGCTCGTCGAGCTCACCAGAGGCGCCACAGAGCTCACGGAGGCACGGAAAGGCGGGGCGAGGGTTTGGAGTGTATGGGTTTAGGGTTTGGGGGGGTAGGGTTTGGGGTTTGGGGTTTAGGGTTTGGGGTTTAGGGTTTGGGGTTTGGGGCTTGGGGTTTAGGGCTTTCGAGTTTAGGGTTTTAGGGTTCAGGGTTTAGGTTTAGGTTTCGGTTTAGGCTTCAAAGACCAGGGTTGAGAACTTTGCTTCAGGGTTCAGGAAATGGCATCGCTTTCTATTGGCGAGTCTGGATTTTGTCGTGGCCTCAAATTTTGGAATTTATAGGGGCCCTGGACAAGGGGTTTTTTTCGCATCATGCATGTGCGAGCAGCGCGGGCGGGAATAGGTTCTGGGTTTCGTCTTAGGGCCCTTGTGTTTTGAGGGGGCATATCTCGAACTGAGGGCCCCACCTTGGTTTTATTACACACGGAACTAGGAATCAACATTTTCCCAGGTTTAGGGTCCCAAAATTGGTTTTGAAGAGATCTGTGCATGTGTGCCCGAAATCCTCGTGGTTCTCTTCAACGCAGGCAATTCCGCCCTAAACTCCAAGCTTAGGACGCCCCCCCCAATTATCATCCCGATTAAGAACTGTTAGTATAAGGGGGAACATCCCAACTGGAGGCCTTTAATTCCTTCAATACTCTTCGTAAAGGTCTCCAAGCGCAGCTGGAACAGTGCCAATCCTCCACAAGGCTCTGGGGCTTTGTGGCTTAGGGTTCTGCTGTAGGGTTTAGACTTTACAGGGTTCAAGGTTTAGGGTTTCAGCTTAAGGTTTGCGGAGTTTATAGGGTTCAAGGTTTAGGCTTTCATTTTCAGGTTTACTGTCTTAAGCCATTGAATAACTGTCTTGGCCTTCTCTGATCGGCTCGTCCTCTTGTGCGCGGGACATCTTCAACAGATCCTTACCAGTGCGAATTCAAGGGCGCGCTCGTTCTGTGATGTCTCCCCTTCTGCGACCCTTCCTATGTAAAACTAGTTCGGCCTTTGGGGCATTTTAATACTTTCCCTTATTGGGTTAAAGAGGATCATGTCTCAAGAATATTTGCGGCCCACTTAGAAAAGGTCCTCTCTGAATGGGGCTTCGTTGCCTTCAGTTTGAATTCGGATTAACCCTTGGGCCGGCCCGTGCAGAAGGGGTTTTTGAGTGTTTAGGGTTTAGGGTTTAGGGTGTTGAAGATGTTGCATCCCATTTACGGTGTGATCAGACCTATCCAACAAAGGGCGGTTCTCCAGCTGTTTTTTTTCCCTTTTTTTGCCGGGGGGGGGGGGGGAGAGTGTCTTTATCAGGCCCGGATCCCTGAACCATAAACCTTAATTAGACTGGACAAGGACCGCCCAGACCCCTGACAGGATCCAAAAAGTAGAGCCCCCAAATTTAAGAGCCTCCGGCTCAAGCCGCCGACCCTGCAGGAGAACCAGTTTAAGGGGATTGGGGTTTGGTGGATTGGGTTGGGTGGGGGGGTGGGGGGGGGGGGAGAGGGGGGAAGGGAGGGGGGGGGGGTAGGGTTGGGGGGGGGGGTAGGGGGGGGGGGTAGGGGCGGGGGGGGGGGGGTAGGACCCTAAACCCTACCGGGTTCTGGGTTCTAAAGGGAGGGGGTTCATGGGAGTTAGGTACCTGGAAAAACTTAAGCTCCGTAGTGGGAGGGGGGTATTAGGGAATCTTGGGTACATACCCGCTTGAACCCCCTTACTAAGCCCTAAACCCTAAACCCTACTATTGCTTCATTCTTAGGAACCCTTAAGGTTGTTAATCTTGTGTTTTGGGGACCCTTTTCAAAGATCCTAAACATAGTGTAAGGACGATAAAGCGTATATGAAGGGGAACCTTTAAAGGACTCTTTGGAGCCTTCGAGGGGTCTGGGCAAGCGACGTCCATCACCTACTGCAAGCCCGGGGTTCGGTGTTTGGGCTTGAGGTTCCTTTGGGAGAGCGAGACTTTTTCCCCTAAACCCTGAACCCTAAACCCTAAACCCGAAACCCTAAACCCCAAACCCTAAACCCTAAACCCCCCAAACCCTAAACCCACGAAACACAAGCCCTAAACTCTACCCTACCCGTAAAGGCAGCCGTAGCCTGCGTGCGAAGCCCTTAGTGCTCTCAGGGCTTCGAGCTTCACGGGACCCCTTACAAGGGACCTGGTTTAGGGTTTAGGGTTTAGGGTTTTGGGTTTAGGGTTTAGGGGCTTATTTAGGGGCTGTACTTAGGTACAAAGGGACTATGTAAGGTGTATATGGGGGTTACATACATTGTTGGGTTCGCTCCTTCCCCTTAAGAGCTTCTGGGTCCTAAGAGAGGCTGCTCCAAGACTCCTGCCAACGCCTGGACGTGCGGGTGGAGAAGGCCTCGGCCCCAAACACCCTGTGGGGTTTGGGGGTTTAGGGTTTAGGGTTTAGGGTTTAGGGCTTTTGTTTCTTGTTCTTTTTCATGTGTTTTTTGGGTGGTTTGGGGCTTTGGGGTTTTGAGGTTTGGTGTTTTTGTTGAGGGTTTTGGGGTGTGTGCAGCACCAGAGGGTTTTCTCTCGGCGGTGGGGGGTGGGGAGGAAGTTTGTTGGTCAAGCGTCGGACACAAGTGGGCACATGGTGGTTATTTGATGAGTTGAGTTTGCTGTCGTTTCATTGGGGGGGCACGAAGTAGGCTGAGTGGAGTCTCAGTTTAGGCAAGTAGTGCTCAGTGGTTGACAAAAACCCTGAACCTTATACCCTGAAACCTAAACCCACTCTGAACCGCAACCTAAACCCACCCTAAACCCTAAACCCTAAACCCTAAACCCTAAACCCTAAACCCTAAACCCTAAACCCTAAACCCTAAACCCTAAACCCTAAACCCTAAACCCTAAACCCTAAACCCTAAATGACACAGGGCAGTGTACAGGCTCTTGCGACATGCGGAGAACATGGAAGCCCTTGTTGGAGTGAAGAAGAGGCCTCAGCAGGCCCTAAACCCTAAACCCTGAACCCTAAACCCTAAACCCTCAACCCTCAACCCTCAACCCTAAACCCTAAACCCTGAAAAGGGCCTGAGCAATGCCTCAGGGACGGCAGCCAGGTTTCCTGAGGATGGGGTGCACACCGAGGGCCGGTCGGACGTCTGCGCTAAGGAGCTTGCGCCGTTTGTCGCTCGCCGGTCCATGGGGAGTTTAGGGTTTAGGGTTTGGGGTTTAGGGTTTAGGGTTTAGGATTTGGGGTTTAGGGTTTAGGGTTTAGGGAGAGAACTGGCTCCACAAGATCCTGAACAATGCCCACCATGGCGAGCGACCCGTAGCACAGGCCGCCACCACAGCTGCCCTTGGCGCCACTTGCTGCCCTAGGGTTTGGGTTGTAGGGTTTAGGGTTTAGGGTTTAGGGTTTAGGGTTTAGGGTTTAGGGTTTAGGGTTTAGGGCTAAGTCTGCTGCCTGCAGCTCCCACCCTCAAAGCCGGCAGCCTTCGACATTCGAAACCTAGAAGCCCGCAGTCTCCTGAAAACCCTGATGCCCCAAATAAACCCTAAACCCTAAACCCGAAACCCTAAACCCTAAACCCTAAACCCTAAACCCCTCCTTGAAAGGTGGCTACCCAGACATCGCAAGGCCATGAAGGCGGGGGGAGCGCCACGTCCACGCTAGAGAGCTTCGGGATGCGCTTGTGGGGGGGTTTTGGGAGGGTACTGCAGCTTAGGGTTTAGGGTTTAGGGTTTAGGGTTTAGGGTTTAGGGTTTAGGGTTTAGGGTTTAGGGTTTAGGGTTTAGGGTTTTAAGGGTCTAAAGTTTCGTGATCCACCTCAAGCCCTACTCTAACACAGGAAGGCAACGCTCAAGGGTGGTGCAACTCCTGGTCCGCTGGGATTTGGCCGAGCTAGCAGGGCCCAGGCTATATTGAGCAATCTTCAGTAGATGCCAGTGCCATGCTGCGGGTGTGGAGCCGAATTTCCGGGGAAGAGCTTGCGGCCGAGCCCAAGGAGACTTTCTGGGATGTGGTGGACGTAAAGAGCCACTTGCGCACTCGGTATCACTACCCAATGTGCTTTCAACGGCTTTTTGAGTCTGAGAGCGGCTTCGAGGAGCTTCCTGGCATGCCTCTGAAAACGAGTGAGTGGCAGCTAGTGGTGCACCCCACATTGGGCAGGCCAGACCTGGAACGCCGTGCTACAGAAGAGTTCGTGATGTACGCCGCCAAGAAAGGCCATGTTGAAGTGGCCCGCGCTCTGCTTGACGGAGGGGCCGACAAGAACTGGCAGGACGGTGCTACCAGCGAAAAGACGGCTCTCATGCACGCGTGTGCCCGGGGCCACATTGAGATGGTCCGTTTGCTGCTGGAAGCAGGTGTCAAAATCAACTTGCAGGACTTCGACGGCAAAACCGCTCTAATGCACGCCGCTGGCAACGCCCACGCTGAGATCGTGCATTTGCTGCTGGAAGCTGGTGCTGACAGGAACTTGCGGGACCACGACGGCAATGTGGCCGAGATCACTCACCTCGAGTAGTCTGAGTAGTCAGCGCGTGCCCGAGGCCGGAGGCAAAGTACGAGCACACAACACCCCACGGTCAGCATCGGCATGCTGTTCGTGGGTGTGGGCACCTGCAAAAAGCACTGATCCCCAAGAGTGCAGATAGGCTTGTTGTTGAGAAGCCTCGTGCTTGCTGGTGCTAATCCATGTGAGTGGAAGGTGGCATTCTGCCTGTCCTTCTAGAGCCTCGAGTGGCAGTTTCAATTTTGTCCTTGGCCCATGCACTGGCATTGGTGGCTGTGAACCCTCGCTTACCCTAAGACTGCATATGCTTCGATTTCTTCTGATTGTTGGTATGCCTCTGCCAAGGACGTTCGAACATGATAGTGATGGCAGTTTCAATTTTGTCCTTCACCCATGCATTGGCATGGGGTATGAACCCTCGATGATGTGCTTCGAATCCTCCTGATAGTTCTGATAGTTGGTATGCCGCAGCCCAGGATCTTCGCGCCTGACAGTGAGGCGCAGTTTCAATTTTGTCCTTGACCCATGCATTGGCATTGTTTATGAACCCTCGGTCACCCTAGGACAGTGCATGTGTGGTCGAGTTCTTCTGATTGTTGGTATGCCTCTGCCAAGGACGTTCGCATATGATAGTGAGTGGCGAGTGGCATTTTCGATTTTGTTTTTGACTCATGCATTGGCATTGGGCATGAACCCTCGCTGACCCTAAGACACTGCATGGGTTTCAACTACTTCTGATTGTCGGTATGCCTTTGCCAAGGACGTTCGTGCATGATAGTGAGAGTAGCTGGTCCGACGAGTCCCAAAGCTCGTTGGCTCCGCCAATTTGGGGGTTGCTGGCTGGCATCCTTCAAGCGCAGAACGTTTCACCCCATCTTGAAGCTTGGGTTTAGGGTCTAGGGTTTAGGGTTTAGGGTTCAGGGCTCAGGGTTTAGGGAGTTGCGACAAGCGGCCGTCCAGCGCTGCATCGATTTCTAGCATCCTGGTGTCGGAGGCAGCGGCGTGTGAGGCTAGGATGGTCACGGCCGCAGGACAAACGCATTCACGGCGCCAAATTACGAAAAAAAGTTGCACCACTCCCCCAGAGGGACACCAATTTCGACCCCCTCCTCAATCCTACGCCTAAATCCAAATAGGAACCTTCAACAAGCATGGCGGACGTAAAAGAAACAGAAACTAGCACCCAGAGAGTCGCCCCTTATTTATCAGCCCCTTCAAGCCAAAAAGGGTACCCTTCTATTCCTAGGATATGCTTGCTAAACCCTAAACCCTAAACCCTAAACCCTGAATCCCCAACCCCGCCGCCGAGAGGCCTTGCCGAGGTCAAGTCCTTCATGCGCGAGGTGGCCGACAAGGTTGCCCGCTTACTGGCTAGGGGGACCCTAAACACGAAACCCTGGACCCTAAACCCTAAACCCCCAAACCCTAAACCCCAAACCCCCCAAACTCGAAACCCTAAACCCCAAACGCTAAACCCCAAACCCTAAACCTCCAGCCCCAAACCCCAAACCCCAAACCCCAAACCCTAAACTTCCAAGCCCAAACCCTAGACCCAATGCCGAAAGGTCCATACCTGCCACGCAAAACTCTACAAGTTGGTACGGCTATGGTTTTTTCAGCATGGAGCATGAGAGCTGCCAACCCGGGTTCCCCACCTTCCTATATCCCCCTCGGGAATTATTTTTTATTCTTATTCATATAAAACCAAAGAGGATATTAAGCATATTATTTTTATTAAGGTTCTAAGGGGAGTATAGCTTCGGTGTGGGGTGACTCCCAGAGACTCCCCAACCCCAGAGACTCCCTGGAGTGCCCAACCCCACAAACTCCTGGAGTGCCCAAATCAGAGACTCCCTGGACCAGAGACTCCTGGAGTGCCCAACCCCAATTGCAAGGAAAAGCTAAGAAAGCGTATTTGAATCAATGTGTCTTTGTTTGAACATCTTGTTTCCGCTCTTTCCTTTTATCGAGGAGCAAGGTGGGGATGTTCGAAGTAGAATAATTTAGGGTTGGCTTCTTAGGGTTTAGGGTTTAGGGTTTAGGGTTTAGGGTTTAGGGTTTAGGGTTTAGGGTTTAGGGTTTAGGGTTTAGGGTTTAGGCTTCATCTGAGGGTAGATACATGGTCCCTTAGTATGGTCCCTTACCTTCTTTAAAGGGGCTCTGAAGTATGGGCCTTGGGCTTTATAGGGTCTATGAGCGGTATTTAAGGGCTACCCAGTTCAGGGCCCATAGAAAGGGAGCATGGAAAGTACTTTGTACCTACCCTAAGAGTTTAGAAGGTAGGGTTAAGGGTTCAGGGTTCCCTTGATTTGCTCCCTTCCTTTCCCGCTCTCTCTCTCTCTCTCCCTCTCTCTCTCTCTCTCTCTCTCTCTTTGGTGGTTTCTCTCTCCCTCATCCCAAAACCTTGAACCCTGAACTTTTGCAGCTTCTTTGTGCCCTTCAGGGATTCGGTTTAACGGGCGCTACAGAGTCCCCACACCAACCTCGCAGGGCCCAAATCCTTGAACCCTCGTTCACAGTTCCCAAGCCCCCCAGAGAAACCACCTTGGATCCCCAAGCTCTAAACCCTAAACTTCCTAAACCCCTAAACCCCTAAACTTCCTAAACCCCTAAACCCCTAAACCCTAAACCCTAAACCCTAAACCCTAAACCCTAAACCCGTACAGTGACAAACCTAAGTTCTGTCAAAAGCCCCCCTAAAAAAACCCAAACCCTAATCCCCAGACCTTAAACCCCAAGCCCTAAACCCTAAACTCGAAAACCCCAATCCCCAAACCCCAAACCCTAACCCCTAAACTCGAAAACCCCAATCCCCAAACCCCAAACCCTAAACCCGAACCGCCTCCATAAAGAATCGACGCCTGTGGTTGGAAGGCGACGACGCAGGGCCGAGAGCAGCTGGAGCAGCGCGCCAGCGAGCTGAAGGACCTTCTTAGGGTTTAGGGTTTAGGGTTTGGGGTTTGGGGTTTGGGGTTTGGGGTTTAGGGTTTAGGGTTTAGGGTTTACGGTTTGATTAGGGTCCAGGGTCCAGGGTCCGGGTTTAAACCTGAAACCCTATAGACCCTAAACCGCAAAAAACAGGGGCTGGGGTTGTAGTTGAGGCTTAGGGAGGTTTGGGGTTTAGGACTCTAGGGGGTTTAGGGTGATTTTGGGCTTCGGGGGGGGGGGGGGGGGGGGGGGGGGGTTGGGATGTTTTTGGGTTTGGGGTGTGGCGTTGCAGATTGTAGACAAAGCGTGAAGCAGTTCAGCTCCACCTACAGAGTCCGTCATCATGGAAGGACAGATTATAGCGCTAGCACTGGTTCAAGTTTAGGTTTGGGGCAGAGCTCTGGGGTCTGTAGGGTGTTCGCTTTTAGGCTGTGCGGCTTTTAGGGTTGAGTTTGTTTTGTTTTAAGGCTTTCTAGGGTTGGAGGGGTTGGGTTTGTTTAGGGCGGCTTGCGTTATGAGGGCTTTCGATGTGGGGTCACTGTGTTTTCGGGGTTTTGGCGTTTGTCGTGTGTAGAGGTTTAGGGATAGACCTTCTCAAATAGCTTGGTGAAGTGTTTTTTTTGCAAAAGCCATACAGCGAAATTTCTCACTGTAGCTATTCCTGGAAGATCTGGGAGGGGCTTGGGGTGTTAGTAAGGCTTTGAAATGTTTAGAGGTGGGCTTTTGGTTGGGCCGTTGTAGGTGGTAATGTGTTTAGGGTATTGGGTGATCTGGTTTAGTGGCTTTGGAGAAGTAGGGTGTAAGATTTAGGTGTTTAGGTTTGGGTTTTGAGGTTTGGGCTTTGGGGTCTAGGGTCATAGCAGGGTTAAGGGTGTTGGGGTTTGGAGTATGGGGTGGAGCTTAGGATGCACGAGTTCAGGATTTTAGGGCTGTAGGGGTTTTGCAGAGTCGTTGGAACACTGGGTGCTGTGTTAAACCTAATTATCCCTAAGCCCTAAACCCTAAAATCCTAAACCCTAAACCCTAAAACGCTAGCACCTACATCCTAGTTATGCTCAACCCCGAACCCGAGAGCCCTCAATCCTAAGCCGGTGATGCGGGTGTTCATGAACGCCATTTTAGCTGTCCTGTAGTAGTAGCACGTTTTATACCCGCCCTAAGCCCTAAACCCCCGAAGACCGAATTCTTTAGAATATGGTTGTGGGTTGATCGGGCTTTGGGGGCGATTTAGGGTCCCTAAACCCTAAACCCTAAACCCTAAACCCTAAACCCTAAACCCTAAACCCTAAACCGTAAACCCTAAACCCTAAACCCTAAACCCTAAACCCTAAACCCTAGACCCTAAACCCTAAACCCTAAACCCTAAACCCTAAACCCTAAACCCTAAACCCTGCCTAAGGGCTTATGGCATATCTTTCGGAGGAGCTCGTGGAGCAGCGGAGCTCTGAGCACAGCTCGAAGATGGAGGCTTACTCGAAGGGTTTAGGGTTTAGGGTTTAGGGTTTAGGGTTTAGGGTTTAGCCCTCGGCCCACAGCCCTGTCATGCTGGGATTAGTATTTCGCGTCGAGGGTTTAGATTAGGGCTTATCTGATCGTCCTAAACCCTCAACCCTGCGAGTAAGCACCTCCAAGTCAGGCTACACCCTGCCTTTTCAGCTTCCTGAGCCCACTTCAGGCCTTCTTACGGCCTACTTTCTTGTGGGGCCTTTATCCTATACAGCCCTCATGGGAGTTGTGGTGTTGGCCTACAAAACGTGGGAAGGATAGCTGGTTCTTGGTAGGAAATTAGGCTCTGGGTGTCCTGTGTATAAACAGAGAGAGAGAGAGTTAGAAAGAGAGAAAGAAAGAAAGAAAAAAGAAAGAAAGAATCAGCGAGAGAGAGAGAGAAAGAAGGAACCAGAGAGAGAGAGAGAGAGAGAGAGAAAGATAGAGAACCCACCTGCCCCCCCCCCCCCCCGGATGGCTGGTTTGGATAGTTGTCCAATTTTTGCCGAATTTGCAGGGATCCGTACGATGATCCGAGGACCGAGACCCTAAACCCTAAACCCCAAACCCTAAAAACAAAAGCCCTAAACCCTAAATCTCAAGGCCGGGTGACCACTCCTTAGGACATCTCACACACGACGCCCTCGACGTCGCGTAAGAGTTCTTTTCGCGAGCTTCTGGCCGACAGTCCCCAGCGCACTCGCTGATGCTAGGATTTCGGGTTAAGAAGCCCTTAAGACAATGTCACGGAAACACCCCAAAGCCCTCCCCCCCCCCCCCACCATACAAACCCCCTAAACCCCACATCCCAAACCCTAATCCCCAAACCCCAAACCCTAAACCCTAATAAACCCTAAACCCCAAACCCTAAACCCTAAACCCTAAGCCAATCTCCGAGGCACTCCGGGCCTCCGCTGCGGAGAACGCAGCGCGCTCCGAGCAGCTCCCGGGACGCGGGTTTCATGTTGGGTGGCTTTGGAGGTTGGTTTAGGGTTTAGGGTTTAGGGTTTAGGGTTTAGGGTTTAGGGTTTAGGGTTTAGGGTTTAGGGTTTAGGGTTTAGGGTTTAGGGTTTAGGGTTTAGGGTTTAGGGTTTAGGGGTCTTAGGGGTTTCAGGGGTCTCAGGGGTCTTAGGGGTCTTAGGGGTTTTAGGGCTTCATGTTTCACGTTGGGTGGTTTTAGGGGTTGTTTTGGGGTTTTAGGGTTTAGAGTTTTAGGGGTTTAGGGGTTTTAAGGTTTTAGAGGTTGTTTTAGGGGGTTTAGGTTTTAGGGCTTAGGGGTTTAGGGGGTTTGGGGTTTGAGGGGGTTTAGGTTTTCGGGTTTTAGGGTTTTAGGGTTTTACTGTTTTAGAGTTTTGTATTTAGGGCTTTAGAGCGGAGGGGTTAAGGGGGTGCAGGGGATAGGGTTGGAGGGGAGTTGTTCAGGGGTGTGGGCTTGGAGAATCTTCGGGGCTTTTGGGTGTAAGGTTGAAGGGGCTTTGAACCTTTGATGGTCTCACGGACTTTAGGCGTTTGTGGTCTTAGGGGTTTGTGGTTTGCTGTTTGGGTGTTCGAGCTTAGGGGCTGTGACTAAACCTGGACCAGGGACCTCAGGTCTGGGTTCCCCTGAATACCCTATACCCGGCCCAAACCCTTGAATCTCCATGTACAGGCAAGATGCGTTCCACGCTTCAAAGTCCGTCTTCCAAAAGCCCGGACGCTGGGATTGTGATGTGCCTGTGCCAGCTGAAGCACTTCAATGAAGCTGGGACAGTCGGGCGATTGGGCTCTGGAGCAAAACAAAGGGCAAACTGCCGACTTTTGACACTAGCCACGCAAAGTCCGTAGGCAGCATCGGCCAACAACGCGATTAGGGTGGCATTCTTGCAGGTCGGGCCACGAAGGCAGGAAGCATCGGCCGACGAAGCTATTTAAGTGACATCATGCCATCGGATAGTTATGCGGGTCATTGTGTTTGCAAATGGAGCAAGCGGCACACGCACACAACAAAAACGAAGAAGCAAAAAGAAAACACCTTGGCCGGCAGAATGGGTAGACAAACGTCATGAAGCCGGCAGCTAACAAACAAAAACGGAGAGCAGCAGGTTTTCGCATACTTCCACCTGCTGCATCGAGGGCGCAGCCCACAGCATGCGCAAGATGGCGTCATCATCGTGCGCAGCGCACTCAACGGCGTCGCAGCTGGGTCTGCGATTCTTTTCAACCCGAGATCCGCGTGTTCGGCATCGACCCAGTGGAGAAAGGGCAAGTCCTAGTTGGTCAAGATGACGATCTTGCGAGATCATGCGGAGGCATGGTTGGCCTGCGGTTTTATGAGGACAGGAGCCCTCTGTTCAGATTTTCCCGAAGAGGTTCAGAACTGTGAAGACCGTGCTGCCTAAACGCTGCCGAAACGGGCGGCGACAGGTGGAACCTCCCCCGTAGCAGGAAGGAAGAGAAAGAAACACAGGAAAGGCAAGAACCAGAGAGAGCGAAACACTAAACGTCACGCGCATAAACCCTACGCGAGCTCCTATCCCCTAAGCCCGTTGACCCTCGAACCCCCAAAGCCCCATTCCCCCCGCTCTTAGACCCCCCCCCTCCTTCTGAAACCCTAAGCGCCCTTAGAAGCCCGGCTCACACCCCTAAACCCTTTTCCCTCAACCTCCGAAGGCCGTAGAAGCCTTCAACCCGAATTAGCCACGAACCGCTCAGACTCAAGCCCGAGTCCTTAGAGCTTTAAACCCTAAACCCTAAACCCTAAACCCTAAACCCTAAACCCTAAACCCTAAACCCTAAACCCTAAACCCTAAACCCTAAACCCTAAACCCTAAACCCTAAACCCTAAACCCTAAACCCTAAACCCTAAACACAACCCAGGCTCGGAAGAGACTTGGTCGACCTGCGTCGAGGCGGGCTTTGCTTATGGCATTTTCTGGGATGGGGATGATTGATGAAGGTTACTTTGTAGTGCTTTACTGTAACTTTAGATCCTTACCTTTTTTGGGTTTATTGGGTTTCTTATTAAGGCAGCTAAAGGTTTAATTTCCAGCTACCCCCCCAAGTGCAGCCAAGGCTAAATCGGTTTCAAAAAACTCCAGGAACTATAGGGCCTTTGGGGCACTACTCTGGGGTCTATGTTGTGAGGTTTCGGGCGGGTCGCCTCGTGCTAGTTTAAGTGCCTCCGAAGGGACCAACTTTTCGGGATCCCCCACGTTTCGTCTGGAATCTTTACACCATGCAACCTACGTCTACGTTGCCACAGCATGCCAAAGGCAACACATTTCACCCTGAGCACAGCCCCCTACCTTCGAAGCCATCAGCCCCAAGTCTATTTTTTTTTAAACATAGCGAAACCCCCCAAAAACCCTAAGACCCAAGAAGTCCGAAACATCCTAAAGCCCGAACATGCAAACGCCCCCAAAAATCCCGTGCAGCCAAGAACCGTCAAAGCCCGTTGAACCCCAGAGAGTGCACCCCAGAGGTTGGGATGTTCCCCCTTCTACAAGCAGCACAGTCCTTAATAGGGAGTATAGTATAGGGGAGTACTGTCATCCCAAGTAAGGACCGTTAGTACAAAGGGGGGCACATCGCAAGCCAGAGGCTTGACGGCCGAGATTGCGAAGTGCGAGGCAGCCGACAGGCTGGGTGGGGGCAGCGCGACGAGGTAGAGGTTTCCGAAAGTAGGGGGTACCTTGTTGGGGTTTAGGGTTTAGGGTTTAAGGTTTAGGGTTTAGGGTTTAGGGTTTAGGGTTGCTTAAGAAACCCCAAAAGAGAAAAAATGAATCGTCCTTGTTAAGGGCAATATGAGGATTACGACTATCCTTTATTTCCTTACGAGGATGATCAGCGGGAGATCTCGCAGCCATGCTTTAGGGTTTAGGGCTTCGGGTTTAGCGATTTGGGATTGGGGTTTGGGGTTTAGGGTTTAGGGTTTAGGGATTTGGGGTTTAGGGTTTAGGGTTTAGGCTTTAGGTTGATGACGGAGCACTACCGCCGGCCCGAAACGCAACTCAGCGAGAAGCAAGGCTCCTAATGGCTCGCGCATGCTGCGAATAAGCACATGTCCCGGCGACCGGCTGCGTTTGCACTTACCCGATCCACATTGGTTTATAGGGTTTAGGGTTTGGGGTTTAGGGTTTAGGGTTTAGGGTTTATAGGGTTTAGGGTTTAGGGTTAGGGTTTTGGGGTGTAAGGTTTCGGGTTTAGGCTTTAGGGTTTAGGGTTTCAAACCATCAACGCAGCACCTGCTTGCAACCGCGACAAAGCTACGGGCTGAGGGTTTAGGGTTTAGGGTTTAGGGTTTAGGGTTTAGGGTTTAGGGTTTAGGGTTTAGGGTTTAGGGTTTGCTGTGATAGGGCGTAGGTGCTGTGAAGGTTAGATTTCGGAACAAGCTCGAAAGCTTGGTGAGGTGCGAAGAGCAGCTTTGGCCCGATTGTGGAGGGCCATCGAACACTTTTCTCCAACCCCACTCCGTCCGAGGCGGCAAAGCCACCCAAACCTATTCCTTTTAGGGTTTAGGCCCAAACTCAAGGCAACAGTCCACTTCAAAAAACTAAATCAGTTTCATGATGTTCGGGGTTGGATCCGAGAGTCAGTACAGAAGCCAGAGGCCATAAACGACGGGCCAGGGAGGCGGGCTAGGCGAGCATCCGCTCTGCCTGAGCCGGCCTGAGGCCCCTGAGCACCCTGCGGCGAGGGGTCCGGGTCCTCCTGGCGTGGGGGTTTTGGGGGTATCCCTTGGAAAAGGCCAGGCCCTAAACCCTACACCCTACACCCTACACCCTCACCCTACACCCCGCACCCTAAACCCGACGCTGCAGGCAGCTCGAGGATGCGCTGAAGCGCAGCAGCCAGGAGCTGGTGCGGTGTGGCGAAGGCCCGCTGTTGGGGGGTTCAGGGTTTAGGGTTTAGGGGGTTTAGGGTTTAGGGGGTTTGGGGTTTAGGGTTCAGGGTTCAGGGTTTGGGTTTAGGGCTAGGGTTCAGGGTTTAGGGTTTAGGGTCAGGTTTTGAGGGTTGTCGAAGTTGGCGTGTGAGGACTTCGGGCTTTAAAGCGAGATGAGCGGGCCTCGAGGAGTTTGGGACGTGTGTTTTTTTTTGTGCTCTGGGTCATTGCGGGCAGAAGTTAAGCGGGTATAAGGAGGGAATTCTAGAAGGGACCCGCAATCTTATTCCCCAAGATAACCCCATATACCTTCTATACTCCCTATAGACTGTATACTTATAAGTAGCCCCCGAACAACCCCTAACGAACCCCTAAGGTCCCTTTCCTAAACCCTAAACCCTAAACCCTAAACCCTAAACCCTAAACCCTAAACCCTAAACCCTAAACCCTAAAGAGCCCCTAAGGTCCCTTATAAGGGTCCCTCCTTGAGTCCCTTGAGTAAGGCAGCAGGAGGAGATGTTCATGCCTACAGGGCATGATGCTGGCTTGCCGGGTTGAAGTTGGGATGTTCCCCCCTTATAGGAACAGGGTTTAGGGTTTAGGGTTTAGGGTTTAGGGTTTAGGGTTTAGGGTTTAGGGTTTAGGGTTTAGGGTTTAGGGTTTAGGGTTTAGGGTTTAGGGTTTAGGGTTTAGGGTTCAGCAGCTCCGGGTCGAGCAATCTCTAGTTCAGCTGCTGTTTGGACTCTCGAAAAAAACCCACCCACCCAGAGAATCCCAAAACATTAAGAAATACAAAGTTTACATTTTTCATCAGCAAGCCCTGTCCTCCAACCTAGGCGTGTGCGCGCGGGCCAGGACAAGGCCAGACCCTTGAGTGCCCAACAGGGCCAGGGCCAGTGACCAACAGGGCCGGTCGATTTGCTGTCATTTAGATTTCTATATATATAGGTAGGAGGGGGAGGGGGGAGGGGAAAGGGGGGGGGGGGGGGCTTGAGTGCCCAACAGGGCCGGTCGATTTGCCGTGGCCAAGGCCAAGGCCAAGGCCAAGGCCGTGCGCGCGGGCCAGGACAAGGCCAAACCCTTGAGTGCCCAACAGGGCCGGTCGATTTGCTGCCATTAAGGTTTAAAGACCAAGGCTAAACGCTCAAGACCAAGCAGAGACCCTTGAGTGCCCAACAGGGCCGGTCGATTTGCCGTGGCCAAGGCCAAGGCCGCGCGCGCGGGCCAGGACCAGGCCAGACCCTTGAGTGCCCAACAGGGCCGGTCGATCTGGAAGGATTGGCCCCAGGGCCAGTGACCAACAGGGCCGGTCGATTTGCTGCCTTGTAGGGTTTAAATATATATAGATAAGAGAGGTTTAGGGTTTAGGGTTTGGGGTTTAGGGTTTAGGGTTTAGGGTTTAGGGTTTAGGGACAACTCCTGAATAGGGATCATAAGAGGGGGGGTACGATAATCCCTACTAAGGACTGTCAGTATAAGAGGAAACATTCCAAGGTTGAAGTTTTATTGTAGCGTTGAAGGGTCCAGGGTTGAGGGTTGAGGGTTTAGGTCGAGGCATGAATATGTTCCTCCATGGTCGTTGGGCGTCTTGGATGGGAGGACGAAAAACAATGTAAATGGTAAACCGCGAAACGCTGGATTTGTTCAACAAATCTATACACCCCAAAAGGCCAAACAAAGGCAGTAAACGAACAACAATAAGAATAAAGCTAAAAGTCACCAAATTCCTGCTTTTGAGGGCGGCGAACAAACAAACAGGCTTGAATCACCCTAACCCTGAACCCTAAACCCTAAACCCTGAACCCTGAACCCTAAACCCTACACCCTAAACCCTATAGCAGCACGTTTCTCTGAGCTCGACCCAGGTCTCGTCGAGGTGCGCGGCTTCGCGCGCGAGGCCGCGGAGAAGGCGTCGGCTCAGGTCAAGGACCCCTCCAGGGCTTTCGGCTTTGTGGTACTGTACTGTAACTTTAGATCCTTACCTTTTTGGGGTTTATTGGGTTTCTTAAGAAGCCAGCTAAGAATTTAATTTTTAGCTACCCCCCTAAGTGCAGCCAAGTAGGGTTTGGGGTTTAGGGTGTGGGGTCTGGGTTTATTGTTTGGTATGTTTAGGGTTTGAGGCTTAGGGTGTGGGATGTTTGGGATGTTCGGGGTCTTGACTTTCGTTTGTTTCTCAAGGCGGCTGACGAGGGCTCCTCTGCACCAGGATGGGCTATTATACCCTAACCCCTTACTCAGGCCCTTTATAGGGTTGATAATGGGGACTATCAGGCTTAATCGCCCATCCTCTGCAGGTCATGTTGCGATCGCTCGCCATTTCTGATGCCAACAAAGATGTGGTAGACGCGACGTCACGGCTGTCGCAGACATCGTTTGTTGCAAGTCATGTCGAGGTCGTCCATTTCGGGTTTAGGGAGCGAGGATGTGGCTTTTGATCTGACACGCACTTGACAGATGGAAGACACATGCCCCAAAGACATGAGCCACCGCTCTGAGGGTAGTTTCATGGGCCTCCCTGCCCGCTTTCAAGGGTTCTGATGTAAGGGCCCTTAATTTGAAAAGGGTATATGACGGGTACATAAGGGGCCCATGTTAAGGGCCCATGAAACAACCCTTAGTGACCCCGGGTAGTTCAAAAAAAAAACAGGTGTTCGACTTCCTTCATATGAGTAATAGTTTTGTATTAACCAGTAGTCGAAGCATTTAGTAGTAATACTAGCAAGGAGAACAAGTCGACTAGTGGCAATACTGGGAAAGAATAGTGGCAATGACATGTTGCTAATCGTGAGAAGAGCACGTTAGGGGAAGAGCCGAGTGGAGGAATGGAGACACTGGAATCAAGCTGTGAATGAACTGCCGGAGCGCGTGAAGAAGTCCTTCTTGCGGATGTAAGTGGCAACCCTTATAATTAAGGCCTAAGCGCGTGCCCTGGTAAATCTGAAGTTCGCTCGAAACTCTAAACCCGAAACCCTCAACCCTAAACCCTAACACCCCAACATCGGTAGAAGCCCGCAGCCCCCAGGAGCTTGTGGAGCTGCGTGCCGGAGAGCTCAAGGTCACTCGTCAGGGCTTGGGGTTTGCGGTTTTCGGGTTCAGGGTTTAGGGTTTAGGGTTTGAGGTTACCTTGGTAGCCCAGCGGTGCCCTTTTGCACTTTTTTCGGTTCTAGGTGCGTTTTCAAGTAACCAACCCCCAAAAAGGGTACCCTTATGATAATATCATCCGCTGGGCTACCACGGTTAGCAATAATAGGGTGTTTGGGATTAGGGTTTAGGTGGACGAAAGCCTTACAACGTAGGGCTAAGGGTTGGTGATGGTGTAGGGGTTTTAGGTTAAGGATCTACGAGCCATCGTTGGCGCGCCGCCGCCTCGGCCCCTGCGAGATCCCGCGCCAACTTCGGGGGGCGGCCGGAGGAAGCGGTTATGATGGAGCGCTTTGCGATACCACTCTCGGGCAGGTGCAGCTATGGCCTGGCGGGGCGCATCCCTGCTGTGCCGCCGACGCGCTCGCATCCGCAAAGCTGGTACGGGCGGCTACACACACCGAAGCCGCCGCGTGGCTCGGCGAAGTCCTGGTCTCCGTGAGTGGAGCCTGGGGCAACTTCGAGGACGTTCTCGCGTGCCGCCGATGGTGCCTCACGGGCGTCGAGAGTGCGCAAGTTTCCACCTTTACCTATGCGTATATGGTTCCGTGTCCCGTGTCGGTACCCCCCCCCCCCACCCCCTCCCCCATGGTATCTGCCCCCCCCCCCCCCCACCCTCCCCCATGGTATCCCGCCCCACCCCCCCCCCCCCCCCCCACCCCCCCTAGGTTTAGGGTTTAGGGTTTAGGGCTTAGGGTTGAGGGTTGAGGGTTTAGGGTTTAGGGTTTAGCCCCAAGACCCTCAACTTGTAAATCCTTGTAGGGATACAGCCCCAAGCGCAGACACCCTAAACCCCGAAGACTTCCACCCCCTAAACCCTGAAACCTTTCAGGCATAAAGCCCATGTAGTTGTAAGGGTTGGGTTCCTTCATGCACCCAATTAGGCAGGAACCGGGCACCTTTTTTTTTTAAACCTCCAGAGGTCAAAGGCAAGGCCGCACGATGATGCCGGCCCCGAGCAGCAGGGGCTACAATAGCAGTTGCCCTGAACACATCGACTGACAGGCTGGAAGATGCGTCCCTAAACCCTAAACCTTAAACCTTAAACCTTAAACCTTAAACCCTAAACCCTAAACCCTAAACCGCATCGGTCCGTCGTCGACACACGCGTGGCCGAGCTGAGAGTTCGGTTCCTGGACGGGGCAAAGGCACCTTCAGCCCTTCAATGCACTCAATGAAAGCCTGAAACCCTCCACCCTGAAAGCCCTCGAGCCCCAAAACCCTAAACCTCAAGAACCCTCGACCCCTAAACTCCAAAACCCTCCACCCTAAAGCCCTCAAGCTCTCCTCCCTAGAGCCCTAAAGCCCCATCATATCCCTCTAAAAGCCCTAAAGCCCCTGAAAGCCTTAACCCCCCAAACCCACAAGCCCTCCTTCCTTAAAGCCCTAAACTCTCAACCCAAACCCTAAAAGCCCTAGACCTACTGGGGCCCGCGACCCTAAACCCTAAACCCTAAACCCTGAACCCTAAACCCTGAACCCTGAACCCTGAACCCTAAACAGTGGCTCCGCCTCCCCCAGGAACTGTGTGAAAAACGCGCGGGCGACGGCGACGTGAAGTTGGAGGTGCGAGCTTCCGGCTCAGGGGCTTGACCCCTAAACCCTAAACCCTAAACCCTAAACCCTAAACCCTAAACCCTAAACCCTAAACCCTAAACCCTAAACCCTAAACCCTAAACCCTAAACCCTAAACCCTAAACTGACCCTAAACCGCAAACCCCATACTTGTGAGGTTGTAGGCTTCTGCAGGAGCACTCCTGTTTTGGTGATCATGGACCCTCGCCGTGGAACAACTCTTCCAGTGGGGCCTGTGGCTCCTGGACAAAGATCACCCTAAACCCTAAACCCTAAACCCTAAACCCTAAACCCTAAACCCTAAACCCTAAACCCTAAACCCTAAACCCTAAACCCTAAACCCTAAGCCCTAAACCCTAAACCCTAAATCCTGATCTGGCCGCTCTGGGTCCCGACATGGAGCAGGCGTGGTGCGAAGCAGAGAGGCATAGGGCGTGTTCTGGCAGTCCGCAGGATGTGTGCAACACAGTTTAGGGTTTAGGGTTTAGGGTTTAGGGTTTAGGGCTAGCCCGACCGCAGCTATCAAAAATCAAGCTAGGATGTGGACACCCTTGGGAAAACCGGCTTGGGAACAAGCTGCTATGTAGGGTACCCCTAAACCCTAAACCCCAAACCCCTAAACCCCTAAACCCCTAAACCCCTAAACCCCTAAACCCCTAAACCCCTAAACCCCTAAACCCCTAAACCCCTAAACCACTAAACCCCTAAACCCTAGACCCCTAAGCCCTAAACCCCCCTAAACCCCTAAACCCCTAAACCCCTAAACCCCTAACCCCTAAACCCCTAAACTCCTAAACCGAACCTCATGGTCTGGTTAATAGCAATAATTCGGATTGATGATAGTCTTGAGATTCTACCGCGTCTTCTGTTTTGATTCCTTTCCTGGGTGACCGCGGTGCCCGACGATACTGAAGCCTAAGCCCTAAAACCCGAAAACCCTGTAGAGAACTAAATAGGAATGTTTTGGGATGTTCCCACATATACGCAGCGTCCTTATTAGGCATTATCATTGGGGGGGTACTATAATCCCTGTTAAGGACTGCTAGTATAAGGGGGGGAACATCCCAAGGAACGCCCAACAAGCCTGTTCCCTAAACCCCAAACCCCAAACCCCAAACCCTAAACCCTAAACCCTAAACCCTAAACCCCCCCATTTTGTATAAGGGGGAACCTCCCAAGGAATGTTCAACAAGCCCGCACTCCTTCAGGCCCTTCGCGCCCAGCAGCGGGAGCATCGCGAGCAGCTTGCCGAGGCTCAAACCTGAAGAACGTGGTTGGGTTGGGGCCCTTTCGGGGGTTTAGTGTCCCGTAACCCTAAACCCGAAACCCTGAACCTAAACCCTAAACCCTAAACCCCAGGGTTGTGGGTTTAAGGGGATTAGGGCCTTAGGGGTTTAGGCTTGGGCGTGTAAGGCCCTTAGGAGTTTAGGGCTTAGAGGTTCAGGGTTTAGTATTTTGAGGTTTGGATCTAGGGGTTCAGGGTTTAGGGAAGAGAGTTCAAGGGCTTAGGGCGTTTAGGGTTTAGGGACGTAAGTGTGAAACATGCCAATGCAGGGTGACATGTCGGCGAACGTCAGTATTTGCAGCTTTCTTGGCTTGACATTTTCACAGCTTTTCTGGCCGTACCTGTAAAAAGAACCTGCCAGTAAAAATAGAGTGAAACAAGAACAGGGTCACTCTAAACCCTAAACCGTTTCTTTTTGGGGCTCCCCTAGGGCCACGTGTGGGCCCTAGATGTCTTGTCTTGAACGTTTTGGTTTCTAGATATTACGTTATAACTCTCCCCTTAAGCCTGGGCTCAAAACCCCCTAAGCCCTAAACCCTACTGGTACAAGGGTTGGGGGGCCCCGCCAAATCCGTAAGCCCTAACCCGACACCCTACACCCTAAACCCTTACAGCCCAAACTAGGGGTTAGGGTTTAGGGTTTGGGGGTATACATTCGAGATTTCCCAATGTGCAGGTTGCGCGCAGCTGCGACGATCTGGCAGAAGCCCGGCGAGGCGCGCATAGGTTTGGGGGCTGTTGGGGGTCCGGCTCTCTGCTGGCCATGCGCTTAGGCCGTTTTCTCTTAAAGGTGCTTACGCGGATCTCATTCTTATATGAAGCAGGGTTTATATTACTGTTTTTGGTGAGTGTATATAAGGTTCCCTTTTCATATTGGTGAGTGTATACCCTGGGCGTCCTTTTGGGGGTACAAGAAATATAAACCCTCCTTCATATGGGTTTTATCATCAGAGGGGCTTTGGGGGCCAACCTGGGCGCTTAGGTTTAGGGTTTAGGGTTTAGGGTTTAGGGTTTAGGGTTTAGGGTTTAGGGTTTAGGAGTTGGGATTTAGGGTTCCGAAATCCCAAACCGGGCCTGGGCCTGGGCGCCCCTGAGAGGCCCCTCCACCCGTAAAAGACCATTCTGGAGACTCCTCCATGGAGTTTACATACCCAAGCACCCCTACATTGGGATGAGCCCTAAACCCTACATTCGAAACCCGGAACCCCTAACCCTAAACCTTGATCCCTAAACCCTGAACCCTGAAACCCCGAATCTGCAGAAAGGATTCAATGAGGACCAATGTTGGGGGGCCTAGTACCCCCCCATTCTCGGCTTTTTTTTAGTTGAGGCCCAAGGGTACCCGGCCGGGTACCCCTTCGATCTCCTCGGTTGCAGAGCAAGCTAGAATGTGGACGCCCCGAAAGCCGAAAGCCTAAACCCTAAACCCCTAAGCCCTAAACCCTAAATCCCCGAACCCAAAACCCAAATAGCCTTGCAGATCCTTGCCAGTCAAGGGACCAAGGAGGAACCCTTCTAAGGGACCTTAGGGGTTCCTTAGGGGCTACTTCGGTATGTTATATATAGGGACTATATAAGGTGTATATACAGGGATTAGTTAGGGGAATAAGATTCAGGGTCCCTTCTAGGGGGTCCCTCCTTGTACCCCTGGATAAACCCTAAATCCCCGAACCCGAGACCCAAAATCGGCCACTCTTGATCCGTGCCAGGGCTGCAGGCCGACGTCGAGGAGGCGAGGGCCTTCGATCGCAGGCAGGGGGTCGGGTCACTGGGGCCGGCCATGGAAAGGGGTATCGTGGTGCCCCAAGTAGCCGTGTTCACTTCCTTAGCCCCAAAAAGAGGACTTGGGACAATAAAGAAACAAACAGCCCAAAGTAGCCGAAAGCCCTCGACGAACTCCAAACCCCGAGTGCTCGAAAACAATCCTAAGGTGCCGGATCCCTAGAACTAAAGGAAGACTCCTGAACCCTTAAACCCCACGACCCTCAGACCCTGAGAACCTTATACTCGCCAACAGCCATTCAACCACTACACCCCTGATCGTTAACCCGACATCCCATTCACCCCTAAACCCTAAACCCTAAACCGTAAACCTCTAAACCCTTAGCCCTTAATCCTAGACCCCTAAACCCCTAAACCTTTGAACCCTAAACCCTAAAGAAGCCAGCCTCTTTAGCAAGACGCCGAGAGGCAAGACGACGCCCTCCAGCGCCTCGCCGCGCGCGTGGACCGCCCCTGGGCTGCCACTGTCAGGGTTCGGGGTTTAGGGGTTTAGGGTTTGGGGTTGTAGGTTTTAGGGGTTTATGGTTTAAGGGTTTGGGGTTTGGGGTTTTGGGGTTTTAGGGTTTAGGGTTTAGGGTTTCAGGGTTTGGGGTTTTAGGGTTTAGGGTTTAAGGGTTTAGGGGTTTAGGGGTTTAGGGTTTAGGGGTTTAAGGGGTTTGGGGTTTAGGGGTGTCAGGGGGTTTAGGGGCTCAACTGGGTCCTCGCGGTTGGAGCTTAGAGTTTGGGCTTTGGGGACTGTTGTGTTGTGCGAATGCAGGCTTCAGGAAGAGAGGTGTAGCTTGCATGCTTTCTTTGGGGCTTTGCATATGGTGAGAGGGAACCCTAGGTAACAAAAAGGAATGGTGTAGTACAACCTCTACGTACGGGGAGGGGGGTTTATAGGCAAACCCCTAAATCCTGAACAGGGGGTTGCCGGTAAAACCCTATATACCTCTAAACCCTAAACCCCTACACCCCTACTAAGCCTACACTCCTACACCCCTACAACCCTACGCCACTACCAATACACCCTAGAGGCCTACACCACAATCACACCCCCACAGTCTACCTTTAGGCCTGGGCGCCTCAGCCGGAGAGGCTGCGCAAGGCCCCCTGACAGAGGATTCCATGGGTTTAGGGTTTAGGGTTTAAGGGTTTAAGGGTTTAAGGGTTACTAAGGGTTTAGGGAATTCCTTAACGAAGGAAGGGGTATTGGGCTCGCAGGGCGCCTATTCGTTGTCATTTCGGAGGTTCGGGGCTTAGGGTTTGGGGTTTTGTGGGGTTCTCTACACCTGAACCGGTAACTTGAGAAGGGGCGGGTTGGTCTTGCGGCTTCGGGGTAGGTTGCCAGACATGAAAGACCCTACCTGGGACCCTCTTTACCTACAGCTTTATGGGTTACACCTACTAATTCAAGAAGCGGTAGTTGCTACTAAACTGTAGGTAAATAGAGCCCCACGTAGGCTCTAGAAAGGGCACCCCTGCGCTTCCTGGGTGTCTCTGGAAGCTAGGAAAGGGGTTGTCAGCTGTTTTTGATGTGCTACAAACCTGAAACCTTGATGGGCCTCGTACGGTCCCCAACACTTAGCAAACGGAGTGAACCTTTAACCTGCTCGGGGTTCCTTGCCGGTTGTTGCCCAAAGCCCCAAACCCAATGCCTAAGAAACCCTCACCTCTCTGAGCGCGTACACAAACACACACCACTAAACCCTAGAACCCTTGAAGCCCCTAACTCGAGTCCTCCCGCACCCCTAAGCTTTAGAGCCCTAAACCCTGAACCCTGAACCCTAAACCCTAAACCCTAAACCCTAAACCTTAAACCTTAAACCCTAAACCCTAAACCCTAAACCCAAAGCCTCCCATGCCTTTCCGAAAATCCCTGCAGAGGCCTCGTGGAGGTGCGCTCCTTTGCGCGGGAGTCTGCCGAGGGCGTGGCCGTGCAGAGCAAGGAGCCTTTTGTGCACGAGACGGTTTAGGGTTGAGGGTTAGGGATTGGGGTTTAGGGTTTAGGACTTAGGGCTTTTGGGGTTTGGGGTTGAGGGCTCTCGGGCTCTACTAGAAGGGCGGTGAAGAGGTTCAGGGGGGCTCTAGGGCTTAGGGGTTTGTAGTGTGTAGGTAGGTCCTTAGTTTAGGGCCTGAGGTTTGGAATTCCCCGAATGCTGCCCCATTCTTGGAGCTTCGGGTTCAGTGGTGGGTAGGTAAGTTTGAATCTGTCGGGGAACCCCCACCCCCCTTGAAAGCCCAAAACTTTAGCCTGTCTCCCCCAAGCCTTAACACCCCAAGCCCTAAATCCTAAAACCCTAAGCCCCAAAGTCCTTAAACCGTAGAACGCCCTCACTAAACCCTAAGCCCGCCTCCTAGCACTCGACACTTGCCTAAACCCCTGGGGGGGTCCTTTGCTACATGTGTGACCTCAAAAGAGACCCAAATTTAGAGAACTACCCTGATCCGAAATCTCGGGAGGCCAGGCAGGATGCTGCGGCGGAGGAGACCAAGGTGGGGGAATCTGTGGAGTTGAGAGGCTTGAGGGGCTAGCGGGGTGAAGCCTTGGAGTTTTAGTGGCCCGCCTGCCAGCATCACGCAAAGTGCGAACCCCAGAGCCCTAATCCTGCACCCCGAACACCCCTAAGCCGCCCTAGACCCTAGGCTACTGAACCCTAAACACTCTAACCAACAACCCTAGCCCCAATACCCCTAAACTTAATTAAAACTGAAAACCCTATACCCTAAAGCCCTAAGCCGTGAGACCTCAAACCCTCAAAGCCCTGAGCCAAGAAGCCCCCCCCCCTCCAGAACAACCTAAACAAACGCAACCTACTATAGGGGTCGGAATAAGTACTAAGAGTATTCTTAGAATTATACTATACTGACCCCCCAAAACCCTATTCTAATTATTCAGGCCCCTATATTACTTCTCCATTTCCTGGTCCTCAGGTGGCGTTAGAGGAGCTGCGGACTCAGCTCCAGGCAATCCGTGAGGGTCTTACGGTCTTAGGGTTGAGGATTCAGCTTTTCTTGGTTCCGGTGTCATGTTTTGGTGCTTCCCCTCCCTGCAGGAGCAGAAGCGGAACTTGAGTTCGTGAAGGTTTAGGGTCAGGGCCGATTAGGGGTTAGGGTTAGGGTTTAGGGTTTAGGGAGGGTGAGGCAATGGAGCTGGAGATAGAGGTCGAGGAGGAGGGGAAGGTTGACTAGGCGGCACATGACATGAAGAAGATCCGGGTGGCGCATTTGGGCATGTTAGCCCTGTTAGTGCACCACTTGTTCTGGCGACTTCTCGTGTGAGTGTGTGTGTGTGTGTGTGTGTGTGTGTGTGTGTGTGTGTGTGTGTGTGTGTGTGTGTGTGTGTGTGTGTGTGTGTGTGTGTGTGTGTGTGTGTGTGTGTGTGTGTGTGTGTGTGTGTGTGTGTGTGTGTGCTTGTGTGTGTGGGGTGGTGTGTGTGTGTTGTCCTGTGTGTGCCTGTGTGTCTGTGTGTCTGTGTGTCTGTGTGTCTGTGTGTCTGTGTGTCTGTGTGTCTGTGTGTCTGTGTGTCTGTGTGTCTGTGTGTCTGTGTGTCTGTGTGGCTGTGTGTCTGTGTGTCTGTGTGTCTGTGTGTCTGTGTGTCTGTGTGTCTGTGTGTCTGTGTGTCTGTGTGTCTGTGTGTCTGTGTGTCTGTGTGTCTGTGTGTCTCTGCGTCTCTGCGTCTCTGTGTCTCTGCGTCTCTGTGTCTCTGTGTCTCTGTGTCTCTGTGTCTGTGTGTCTGTGTGTCTGTATGTCTGTGTGTCTGTGGGTCTGTGTGTCTGTGTGTCTGTGTGTCTGTGTGTCTCTGTGTCTGTGTGTCTCTGTGTCTGTGTGTCTCTGTGTCTCTGTGTGGTGTCTCTGTGTGGTGTGTCTGTGTGGTGTGTCTGTGTGGTGTGTCTGTGTGGTGTGTCTGTGTGGTGTGTCTGTGTGGTGTGTCTGTGTGGTGTGTCTGTGTGGTGTGTCTGTGTGGTGTGTCTGTGTGGTGTGTCTGTGTGGTGTGTCTGTGTGGTGTCTCTGTGTGGTGTCTCTGTGTGGTGTCTCTGTGTGGTGTCTCTGTGTGGTGTCTCTGTGTGGTGTCTCTGTGTGGTGTCTCTGTGTGGTGTCTCTGTGTGGTGTCTCTGTGTGGTGTCTCTGTGTGGTGTTCTCTGTGTGGTGTCTCTGTGTGGTGTCTCCGTGTGTCTCCGTGTGTCTCTGTGTGTCTCCGTGTGTCTCCGTGTGTCTCTGTGTGTCTCTGTGTGTCTCTGTGTGCCTCTGTGTGTGTCTGTGTGTGTCTGTGTGTGTCTGTGTGTGTCTGTGTGTGTCTGTGTGTCTTTGTCTGTGTGTCTGTGTGTGTGTGTGTGTGTGTGTGTCTGTGTGTGTGTGTCTGTGTGTGTGTGTGTGTGTGTGTGTCTGTGTGTGTGTCTGTGTCTCTGTGTGTCGGGTGTGTGTGTCTAGGTGTGTGTGTGTGTGTGTTTGTGTGTGTGTGTGTGTGTCTCTGTGTGTCTGTGTGTCTGTGTGTCTGTCTGTCTGTCTGTGTGTGTGTGTGTCTGTGTGTCTCTGTGTGTGTCTGTGTGTCTCTGTGTCTGTGTGTCTCTGTGTGTGTCTGTGCGTCTGTGCGTCGTCTGTGCGTCGTCTGTGCGTCTGTGCGTCGTCTGTGCGTCGTCTGTGCGTCTGTGCGTCGTCTGTGCGTCGTCTGTGCGTCTGTGCGTTTGTGTGTCTCTGTGTCTCTGTGTCTCTGTGTCGCTGTGTCTGTGTGTCTCTGTGTCTCTGCGTCTCTGTGTCTCTGTGTCTCTGTGTCGCTGTGTCTCTGTGTCTCTGTGTCTCTGTGTCTCTGTGTCGCTGTGTCTCTGCGTCTGCGTCTGGGCCTGGGCCGGTGCCTGTGCCTGTGTACATGGGTGGTTGTCATAATTATGGTCCCTTTTTGGATCCCTGTTATAGTACGATAAAATCCGGTACCCCAAAAGGGATCATAATTTTAACAACCACCCACATGTCTGTGTCTGTATCTCTGTGTGTGTGTCTGTCTGTGTGTCTGTGTGTGTGCGTGTGTGTGTGTGTGTGTGTCTCCGTGTGTGTCTCTGTGTCTGCGTCTGTGTGTGTCACCTTTTTTGTCTGGGGGGCATGTGAACAAAGACCATGCTGCAAGGTGGTGATGTAACTCTGGAGCACCGGAGTTACATGCCTGCGTTTTTTGGGCTGCTCGTTTGAGATCTGTTTAGGCAGTTCGAAAGCAAGCGTTAAGATAATGCTGCAACCTTCAAGTTACAACTCCTTAAGTAAGTAAGTTGAAAAATGTGCTTCTGTTTGTGTGTGTGTGTGTGCGTGTGCGTGTGCAAGAGTGTGCCTGTGTGTGCCTGTGGGTGCGTGTGCGCCCGTGTGTGTGGGGTGTGTGTGGGGGGCGTGTGTGGGGCGTGTGTGGGTAGTGTGTGGGGTTGTTGTGGGGGGGTGTGTGGGGGGCGGGGTGTGTGTGGGGGTGTGTGTGTGTGGTGTGTGTGTGTGTGGTGTGTGTGTGTGCTGTGTGTCGTGTGTGGTGTGTGTGTGTGTGTGTTGTGGGGGGTGTGTGTGGGGTGTGATGGGGTTGTGTGTGGGGTGTGTGTGGGCGTGTGTGGGGCATGTGTGGGGGTGGTGTGTGGGGGGTGTGGGGTGTTGTGTGGTGGGTGTGTGGGGTGTGTGTGGGGTGTGTGGGGTGTGTCCGGGGGTGTGTGTGGGGTGTGTGAGGGGTGTCTGTATGTCTCTGTGTGTTGTGTGTGTGAGTGTGCGTGTGCGTGTGATGTGTGCGTGTGCGTGGCATGTGCGTGTGGGCGTGGTGTGTGTGGGTGTGTGTGTGGGTGTGTGGGTGTGTGGGTGTGTGTGTGTGTGTGTGTGTGTGTGTGTGTGGTGTGGCGTGTGCGTGTGCGTGTGCGCGTGTGTGCGTGTGTGCGTGTGTGCGTGTGTGTGTGGTCGTGTGCGTGTGTGCGCGTGTGCGTGTGTGCGTGTGCGTGTGCGTGTGCGTGTGTGTGTGTGTGTGTGCCTGTTTGTTTGTTTGCTTGTTTGTTCGTTTGTGTGTGTGAGAGTGTTTGTTTATGTGTGCGCGTGCGCGCGGACTGCACATAATCTTCACGTCCGCGTGGTTAGCGAACTGTTGCAAGATATATACGTTTCTACAAATGAACGCAGATAACGCGTGAATAATGATAACAATAATAATAGTCATAATTGCGAGAACGAAACCGGCGTGCCGCGTAAACACTATTATTGCTATTCTTATTGTTATTGCTATTATCTTTCTGTATTATTCTTATTATTGATATTGCAATTAAGACTACGAAGAGAATGAACAAGCGAGTTTATGAAGTGAATTGCATGAACATGGGCTTGCTCAACCGGAGATGGACTGCCGAGTCGCGTCCAATCTTGCCACCCTTTTGGGGTACTCAAAGAAAATGATCCAGCAACACAGGGCAAGGAAGGCCGCGGGGATCAAGAAGCCGAAGCCACCAACTAAACCTCGGCCAGGTCAATTCATGAAATATGCTCTGAAAGCCCTACAGCCGAGACCATCCTCAAATATCCAGGCCCATCAACCCCAAACCTCTAAAGCCCGAACGCCGTGAAACCCTGATCTCCAAATCCCAACAAAATGTTGGCCGAGTGGCTCATCTGCCAGTGCTCACCCTCCAGATTACACAAGACCCCATCGAAGGCCTTCAGCGTTGCTTTGCCGTTCGGGTGCGTGTGGCATCGAAACGGCGCCGTCAGATTGGTGCAGAGCGCAATGAAGAGCAGCACCTGAACCGTTGTTACGAGTGCGTGGACTTAATTCATTAACACCGTACTACACTCGCATATCGAAAATATTACAACAGAGGGCCCTAGCTTTACGCGGCTCTGGGATCTAAGTCCGCTCCCAGGCTGAAGGGGTTCTGTGAAGCTTCAGGGTGTCAGGAAAGCTTCCAAAAGCTGCAAACTGCAAACCCATCAAACCCAGCCCAACAGTTCTGCTCAGATCCAGTTGCGTAGAGCATGCCGCAAGTCTTCCCGAGGTGGATGAACTTCCAGCTGCCCTTCCGACGACAGGCCTGGGTCCGGTGGAGCATGGTGGAGCCCAAATTGGGCCCAAGTGACCCCTGACCCCTGCATAAATATTTTAAATATCCGTCTTTTGGGGCTCAAGTGTTTTCGCCGGGTTGTGCAACCTGCGAGCTCGTCTTGAGAAGCTTCGTCCGCTGAGACCCTCACGGGGTCACTGGGAACACGTATGTACCGTACGGACGATATGATAACGGAGCATGACATGGTCAAGTCCAAGTTTGGACCCCGAAAACTTCCGCCCACGCTGGCAACGGGTCCTGCTCGAACGCATTCTCGCACCATATCGTCTACTTTAATATGCTGTCTCCTGCCATTCGCGGACGAGGCGGTCCGGGCTGGACAGTCCCTACCCCCTCTTAAGGTTGACAAGTCCAAGCAACACTGACACAGTCTGAAATGCACGCTGAAAACCCCAGCAAGTACCCTAACGCCTTCCATGCCTTCCCCTTTCTCCCCGAGCACCACGGTTTACTTGTTCTCCCTTCAAACTGCAAGCAAGCCCCATGGGAACAGATGCACAAACACACCCCATGTCTACGGGTTGAGCGGGTGAACCCTGGGTCACACGACTAAGGTGTGGTGCTGCTGGGATCGGCCTGATGGGGTCTCCCTGTCTCTCTCCCTTTCTCTCTCTCTATCTCTCTCTCTGCACGCTTGGCCCCCCCCCCCCCCGAAGGAGAAGGCCGCCCCCAGGGGCGCGCGAAGTCCACGGTTTGTCGGGTGTGACTTCCACTTTTTTCGCGGGCCACTTTCTGGGTGAAAGTACGGGTCCACGGCCTGTTTGCCTGTGCACCCCCTTGCAATGCCTTAGAGCTTCGGGCCGGGGTTCACGATCTCCCCCCCCTTTGCTGCCCAACATATAAGCTATGATTCATGCAATCCTCCATCTGTTCCCCCCTCTGTGCTCAGCGCTCTCAGCCGAAAGTTCCGACCCTAGGGCTCAGTCACTACTTGCCCCTTCATGTGTTCTCCTTCTTCTCGAATCCACATCTTCTGGTAGCGGCGGTCCACGGCGTCGTAGTTTCATCCTCCCCCTTCTGCTCTCCGACGACGAGTACTCTTCCGTGGGCTCTCTGCGTTCCCCCGATGGCGGCGACTGAGGTGTGTGTCCAGTGTGGTGGTGGGGTGGTGGTTGTGTACTAGGG